ATCCTTTGTAAAATTTTCGATGTGTTCATATGAGAGGGCGGGCTGGCTCGGTTCCCGAGATCTCGGTTTTTCCAAGACGCAGACTGCGGACTGCGGACCAGGGGTAAACTGCAGACTGAGTGTAAAATGCAGACTGCAGACTGCAGACTGAGAGCTGGGAGCAAAATAGCCTGTGAACAGGCCTTTGGTCGAGCGGGGAATTAGGGAGAGGGAAAAGCGAAAAGGCCTGTGGACAAGCCTTTGGGACCGCCGTTCCACGGCACCCGCTGTGCATCAGATCCTGATGCAAGTTCTTATTGGCGAGAACACTGACTGTTGAAAGGTCTGATTGACATCGGCTTTTCGGTCGGCAGGTAACACGCGTTTGGAAATAACAAAACACTCCAAAGACTCTTAAGCTTGTTCAAAAGCTATTACCAAGGGAGGAACTACGCGCTCCAGTCAAAAGACTCACACTATCTAATGGATAGAAAAACACTACGCTGGAGTTTACCGAGTCAAAATGCAATTCTCCATAGTTGATGTAGCTTCGGTATAAGCTGTACTTGAATCTTATAACTTTGGATCTGAAATTACTATCCGTGATCATTTTAAACATTCTGCAAAGAAAACTAACGACCTGGGCCCAGCGTGATACAACATTTCAGAAAAACATTACATTTACGGACTAAAGAAAATCGCTTAGTTATTCAGATCCAGAGGGCACTTTGGAGAAAAGTACGACCCTTATTCAGCCGCAATAAAAAGCTTTACGCTTCAAAAGAGGTCAAAGAAAATGCTCTTGCATCAGAGAGGGCAAATCCTGCCGACCAGAGACAAAAACCACAGTAAATCGATATGTATGCCATGACCTCTCAGTGTGGAACCAGCGGCTAAAACCATATTTGCTCAGTGAAAATGTAGAACCTTCCAGAGCATAATCTACCGAGCATAGGAAAAAACTTATGGGAACAGGCAGCATTTTGGCGTGAGGTAAACGCCGTGTAGGCCTACCGCCCTCTTTTATTGCTATAAATGCGGGATAAATACCCAAAGGTGTAATTCCTGTCGGCGATCGAAGCGCTGTTGATTTCTTTGTACTTGTCTTTGGAGGTTCACGTTCTGGAGAAGTCATGATAGTATCTGTACCTTATGGGGCGCCGTTTGTAAAAAAAATGATTTAGCTTAATTTTGTCATTTTTTTCGTTATTTATTAAATAAAGTTTTCTGATATGATATCATACGTCAATGATTTGATATAATAAATGTTGATTTCAAATCATGCGTTTATGATTTGATATAATAAATTATTATTTAAAATCATGCGTTTATGATTTGATATAATAAATTCTGATTTCAAATCCTGCCTTTATGATTTGATATAATAAATATTGATTTCAAATCATAAGTTTATGATTTGATATAATAAATCCTGATTTCAAATCATTTGTTTATGATTTGATATAATAAATCCTGATTTCAAATCATAAGTTTATGATTTCATATACTAAGTTCTGATTTTAAATCATAAGTTTATGATTTGATATAATAAATCCTGATTTCAAATCATAAGTATATGATTTCATATAATAACAATCATTATTTGATATCAGTAAAACCATGATTTAATTTAATAAGTAATAAGTAACCGCGTGACTTGGCACGTGGGTTACTAGCGCGGGAATAATCGCAAAGATGGCGACACAACCAGATCAGCTATCGAGGTCAATCGCGTCTAGGGTCTCTAGAGCCGTAGAAAGGGCGGTTGACCAAGCTTTGGCATCCCTTCCGAGCCTTCCTGGCAATTCAGGTTTTGCTGCTGCGACACAAGAGGTATGTAACATTGATGTATCGGGGGTACTCCCATACATTACCTGTACGGGTATATGTGCCGCCCAACGGGGTCGTGATTTTGAAGCTCCTGATTTAGAACGGGGTATCCATTTCAGAGGCGTTTTCTAGAACGGGGTATTAAAAAATTGTGGATCATGGCTTTATCTTCTGCTTAAAATTGTTGCTGATTATGAAGAAGCATCTATTTGATGTATAAGTCGAACAAATAAAGAAATATCTTTTAAAAAAACAGGGCTATTTCAATTTACGAACTTTCTAGAACGGAGTATAAAAAATCGGCCCATTTCTAGAACGGGGTATCAGTTTTAAGGCGAATTCTAGAACGGGATATAAAAAAATTGGCCCATATCTAGAACGGGGTATCAATTTTAGGGGATATTTTTTTTAGAACGGGGTGCCTATTTGGAGTCCCGGGCGGCACATACCCCTCCCGAGGATGTATCACTGCTGAAAGCTATGACCATATTTACGAGGGAAAGGGGACTTTTGGACCTTTCGCTTGTCTGGCGCATTGCGTGACACGCTCGGCTTAGTTTTAGATGTGTTTGCTTCCTTTGTTACGTCCTTTTAGTAGCCATACTAAAATAACATACAGCTAATGATTGTTTCTATTTCACAAAGTGAGGCGACAAGACAGTTCGTCAGAGAACAAGAGATCGAGACAAACAAAGGGCTATTTACACCTCAACACCGGGAGGAGAAATTATTAGTTAGTGACATCGGTCCAAGCGTCCTTGGCGAACAAAAATCATTGTACAGGCGTAACATTGAGACTCTGGTTTGGCGACAAATCGCAGTAGCATATATATGTTCGGAAGGGATGCCAAAGCTTGGTCAACCGCCCTTTCTACGGCTCTAGAGACCGCAGAAGCGATTGACCTCGATAGCTGATCTGGTTGTGTCGCCCTTTTTTGCGATTATTCCCGCGGTAGTAACCCACGTGCCAAGTCACGCGGTTACTTATTACTTATTAAATTAAATCATGGTTTTACTGATATCAAATAATGATTGTTATTATATGAAATCATATACTTATGATTTGAAATCAGGATTTATTATATCAAATCATAAACTTATGATTTAAAATCAGAACTTATTATATGAAATCATAAACTTATGATTTGAAATCAGGATTTATTATATCAAATCATAAACGAATGATTTGAAATCAGGATTTATTATATCAAATCATAAACTTATGATTTGAAATCAATATTTATTATATCAAATCATAAAGGCAGGATTTGAAATCAGAATGTATTATATCAAATCATAAACGCATGATTTTAAATAATAATTTATTATATCAAATCATAAACGCATGATTTGAAATCAACATTTATTATATCAAATCATTGACGTATGATATCATATCAGAAAACTTTATTTAATAAATAACGAACAAAATGACAAAATTAAGCTAAATCATTTTTTTTACAAACGGCGCCCCATAGTACCTTTCGCATTCCAAGTTCGCTCATTGCAGGGGCTTGTTGAATTAGAAACTGAACTAGCAAGACGAACGGCGCGATGAGCACAAGTTAAGCAGCTTAAATCGGAAAAGCTTTCTCCTTGCACACGAGGAAATTTTTGGGCAATCAAATGCTTGCGCTAGTACAACGCTGTCTTGGCCACTGTCAACCAGCAAAGTCTTATTTCTTGAAACGCCAACGACCGGCACCGTATCAATTCTCTTACCGGAGATCAACGATTTTTTTCAAAATCGACAATAAATTAGGCTCGCGGTCCATTTCACTTTGTTTTGAGACGAAGCAAAACACGGATGTTTTCCCTTTAATTTTCCCAGGAGTTACTCACGCGCGAAATTGATTGACAGATAACGATCTTGCTGACAGATGTTCGGCAAGATAATTACAAGAGGGCGGAATAGCGGCCTCAAACGTGTGTCTACAGGCTCTCTCCCCCCTTCCCTTCCCTTTCCTTGCTATTTTTTTCCCCAGACAGAGAGCCTGTTCACAGGCTAGGAGCAAAATGCAGAATAAAAACTGTAGACTTTTTTTAAACACTTGTGCTCCTTCTTCAGGGGCACCCAACGACAATTTTCGGAAAAATATCTGTTCGGAAGACGATTTGAGATCTAGAATTTTCGGAACATTTGTTGTAAAATTTCTTGCTTGCCTGCCTCTCCTAGGATTTTCGGACATCTAAAAAATGGTATAATTGCCCATTTTTAACGGATTTTTACCCTAAAAAGGTAGCCTCGAATTTTCGGGAGCCTTTTTTCTGGCTAAAATTTTCGAAAAGGTAAGTTTTGATCCCTATAATTTTCGGATCACTTGACTTTCAGCTAGGAAATCCGAACAGATGAAAAATTTTTAGGGGATAAAAATATGCCTATATCTACCGTTTAAATACTAAAATACGTTTAACAATTCTATGTTTAAGTGGTTTTGAACTATATTCTCGTTGGGTGCCCCTGCTTCTTCTCCAAATCGGTGAAGTAGCCGGTATCAGTCATACACTTCGCTTCCTAGTCTAAGTGCATTGCACATTCGCCAGAAGTTTCAATGAACATCCGAACAGCTTAAGTTTGTGTACCTTAATTTGCAATACTTTCATAAAAGGTCATCCAAATTTCCTGCAGAACATCTTTCTTTGTTGTTGGAATGATTTACTCCCGTTTTATCGCCATAATTCTTCCTGTACAGTATTTTGGGTCAGCAGCTTTCATTTAAGCGTAAACATCGTGGTGTTGTACTAATTCACGGTCCCTGGTCACGTATCTCGAAAACTTCGCGTCTACAGTTGAAGCGTGAGGTCTCTCGGACAGGAAAAAAAGGTTCAAGATTGCGATTATGTTTTTGGGTCGTCGACGACGTTCTAGAGAAGAAAGTCCTGAATGGATTTGTGAAAGCACATGTCTTCAAGTAAGTGTTCGTTTACATGTATACCTGCCAACTTTTTCTGAGATGTAGGCGTGAGATTTTTATCCTGGGAGTGCTGGGATTTTTGAAAACGACACGATCATTTCCGAAGATTCCCGAAGAAGTCCGAAGTCTTCCGAAGACGTCCGAAGTCTGCCGAAGGCGAAGTTATCGAGAAAACGCTTATCCACAAAATCAGAGATCGCGAGGGAGGTATTGTCATTTATTCATTTTACACATGGTTTTCGTTCCTTACATGGGTCTGAGTTAACATATTTTTGGAAATTGTGTCAAGCAAGACGGCAACAACTCACATTTCTCAATCAGGCGTGAGAAATTGGTCCGCAGGCGTGAGCGGGCGTGAGATCGAAGTTTTCAACCCGCAGGCGTGAGACTCACGCCTAAGGCGTGAGAGTTGGCAGGTATAGTATTTGCGGGATTTTTTGGCCCTTAAACCCTTCCACGACTACAGTTTATGTTCGGTCTGCATTTTACCCCAGCCTGCGTTTTACTCTCAGTCTGCAGTCTGCATTTTACACGCAGTCTGCATTTTACCCCTGGTCCGCAATCTGCAGTCCGCAGTCCGCAGTCTTTTAGTAAAAAAATTCTATCTCTTTACGGTGCATTTTAGCACAGCACCGTTAAGAAATTTTGATAAGGGCCGAATGTGCTATTTGTGACCTCGTTTATGTAGGAATCTCTCCTTTCTCTTGCATTCCGTGTCTCGGTCTCGGCTGGGTGTAGTTGTTGGAGGGAATTTTAACCCAGCACAAGACGTACTTATATCATGCATACATTGTTGAACCCAAACTCTATTCATATTCGCTGTTTATACATTTGGAATGTAACACGAAAGAACGTACAACAGCTTTAAGGTTCTGCTTGTGCCAGACCGGTCATTCGGCCTGGTTCGGCTTATGCCCTGTCCCGGGTTTGCGGGGGTCACTCCCTTATATAGGCTATATAGGTATGTGCGGTGCCAAAGGGTATGGTTTTTTAGCCATTTTGGTGTCTGAAATAGGGTATCAATTTTGACCATTTTAGTCTGAAATAGGTGCCGTAGCTGTTTCCCACAAAATTGTGGCTGTGTATAAAAGAGATGGTCGGCTGCAATAGTCCTGACCTGCTCTCCAAGATCTCAGTTTGAGCAGTACATAATACATAAAGACAACAATGTTATAAGGAAATAATACATATGGCATGAGCCGAGCATAATGGTAGGGTTACAGGGGGACTTTCCCTTTTTTATCTCCCACCCCTGTTAAGGTTGACAGGTTTTGAAATGGGGCTTGGGACTCTATCTTCAAAGAAGCTGACCAAATTGATGTGGACCTTTCAGATTTTAATGCAGTCAAAGGTGCAAACAGAAAATAAGAATTGACCCTTTCTGATGTCATTTCATTGAGGGTTTGATTTACAGCCAACTTTAGGGGGTGTGGATACAATATAAAACTTCCTGGGGGCTGATCCAATCTATGTTTTGTTGATGCCAGCTCTTTGATATCCTGCATGGCATGAAATTGAAAGGGAAAAGTTTATAGGGTTTGTTGTGATGAACAGATGACAACTGACCTTTAAACTTAAGGATTTAATTTGCTAATCTCTTACTATCAAGCATACAGGAAAACATGGCAGTAACGTGCAAAAAGCTGGGTCCTTAAAATACAGTCACTGAATAGTCACTGACTGAGATTACAGGCTCAGAAGCACGAGTGACACAAAACAGTTCATAATGTCTCTATGTACAGCCACTGTAGCCTCTTTAGTTTCGATTATGGGATACAACACTAATATACTACAGGGTTAAGGCACTAGGGTCCACTGGGTGCTGCTGGAGCATATAGCCTTGCCAAAAAGCCACATGAGGAGCACCTATATAACATAAGTCTCTCTTGCTGAATAGTGTTCAGGAGGGGACACATACATAGTTTGTAGCTTTTAACATATTTTTCTGTTTTGTCTTGTTTTTTTTTGTTTTTTTTGCAGTTGTGGCCTTTGCCATTGCAGCTAACCAGAACAAACAACTTTTAGGCAAAAATGGGCTCCTTCCATCTGACCTATACTTGGAGAGAATTGAAAGTCACTTTTCAGATACTGGCTGGAGGAAAATTCTTCATGTTCCAACTGTTCTTCTGTACACTGATAAAAGTAGAATTGAGGAACATTTGGATCTACTAGCGTATACTGGGATGTTTTCTCCAGGAGTTGTTGTGGTCTTTGGATGTGCGAACATGTTTATCATGACATTACTTTGGGTATTATACCATTCTATTGTCAACATTGGGCAGAGGTGGTAAGTGTTTATAATTAAATGTATCTAAATGCCTGGCCTTCGAGGAACCAGCTACTGGCCCTAAGCTTAATCGCCAGCTGTTAGTCAGATAATACAGGTCAGTTTAATAGGTTATCTGTACCCCCTCATGCGATGTGGATATGCCTCTACTGCTTGCTGCTAAAACTATATATTTGTAGATGTGTCAAAAGTGCCCTGCAGATCAGTGTAACCAAAAAATACTATAAGGGGAAGTAAATTAGAAGGTAGGTCATGTTGAAATGAAAGGATTAGTGTTCATCATATTGTAGGTGCAAGGCTAGCCTGAGAAAACAGCCGACATTTGGTGACGCTACCACTGGTTTCTCTGCCAAATGATGTCTGAGAAACAAATGCAGAAATTCCATACTGATTACGCGTCACTACCCAGATTTGGGTAGTGCTTCTGATTGGTCGTGCTGCGTGGGAAATTTGATTCAACCAATCAGAAGCACTACTCAGATCTGGGTAGTTTTCTCAGGCTAGTGCAAGGCTGAAACAAAATAGACTTTGTGTCCCAAACTAAAGATAATAGGGCAAATTCCCATTCACTGGGACATGGTTCTATCATTCTTAATTGGACTTATTAATTCACTGTCCTAAAACTAGGGCTCAGTTTTGTTTGTCAGTTGTGTGGTTCTTAGTTATATACCTTATTGATGTTAGCACTGCTTTGGCAGACAATAACTATTTTTTGTTGAATGAACATATCTGTCACTGATTTTTTTTAATACTGTTTTTCTTTCATTGCTATCTTGTTTGAGCAAGGTATTCATTTGGTATGTATGTATAGTAATTGCTTTTCAACCTTTTTCATCTTTATTTGTGCACCATATATTGGATGTAAAGTCATTTTTTAAAATTAATTGCTAATTAATTATGTGATAATGACAAATGAGATGGTCTGTTTTAAAAAATAGGAATTTACATGGGTTTTAAAAGTCTGTCAGTCACTCTAAATTATGATCAGCTCATTCATAAGATAATTTCTGTATTATTATAACAGAGCTGCATAATTTCTTTTGAAGATTTGAGTTTGAAAATAAATTATTGTGACTCGCCCTCTATAGTTATTGATTTGTAATGTTTTATGCTGCATGGTTGCATGTATATTTAACTGTGGCTTGATGATTATTTCGTTTCAGGCTGAGAGTCACAGCTTCTTGAAACAGGTTTCTTGGCAATCTTTCTTTGTCCAGTATTTAAAATGCAGCAAGTTCCTGTCCATACACCCACACCTCTTGTTGTCATTTGGGGATACAGATGGCTTCGTTATATTTCGTATCATGATTAGCGCTGTAAGTTCTGCTATATTATGCATGTGAAGATGGAGGTGATTGTGTATTTTGACTGCCAGCTGGTATGAGCACTTGCATGGCATCTTGTTTTCATTATCACTGACCGGCAATTCTCTGCCGGTTAATTGTCATTATTTTGTTACAGGTATGGTTTGACTGAGTTTTTTAGGGGGTATACTTCCCCCCTTTAAGCATTTTCTTTGTCGGCATTAACAAATGTATCAGAAAAAGTTTACCACAGCTGTATGTAAGATGAAAATTTTGTATGATCCATGTTTTATTGACATGGGAGTTGTTCTGGCAGCATAATGATGCCATTACGTTTTTTATTTTCATTTGTATTTCTCGGTACCTGGAGTTTTTTTTCAAAAATCCCTTTAAGAAGCTTGTACTTCCCTTAGTTGGGTCGATTATGGCAAAATTTGAGCAAATGCTATGAGGATGTTTTGGAAATATTTTGAAATGTTAAGGGTTCAAAAAACAGTAAATAAACATGCAATCAACAATACAGTTTCGTCTCATAGTGGTTTGATTCCATCTAAAACTGTGGACAAAAAAGGGGGGATAACTATGGCCGATTGCGAGAATTTGATTAGTCTAAGTTTGACTGCTTTCTTTACCACTTTGGCATGTAATTTGTCCTCTCCTACAAATTTCACGGTAATTTAAAAACTGATTGATAATTTTTTTAAAAAAACTTGACAATCCCAAGATTAATCATCAATTTACATCTCCTCCAAGTTTCAGGGACATTGAAAATAAGGAAGACAATTAAATGGGGCTTCAACTGTCACAAATCCCCCCCACCGCTGCCCGGTTTTTTGTATTCAAGTGAGCCTCCTCATGGTATTGTTTTCAAGTTTCATATACACAGACACAACTTTGTCAAAAAACTAATTTGCATTCAAAATTTTTGGACCCTTGATTACATAGTAATCACTCAAAGTAGGGAAGTATACTCACTTAAAAATCCATTTGAGCCAAAGTCATTAATATATAGATTTAGCCAGGGCTAAAAGCGAAGCTCTCGATAATATTTATAGTTTGTTCAAACAAAATATAAAATCGTGTAATGCTAAGCGGCGAAGGCAACGCCGGAGAACGGTGAAAAACAACAATAGGTCTAATTAGCAAAAAAGCAACTTTGCACGTGCAGCTCACTTTTTTTGTTCATTTCTTTGCCGTTGTTTTGGACGACTACAACGTGAAACTTCCAAAAACGTTTTTATGGAGGAAATGTCGTACGTGTTCTCGTTCACTTTTTTTTCACTGCCGCTCATTTTCTTCTTGCATTGGTGGCCGCTAGCATTAATTTTCTCATTTTGTCACCGCTGCTACAAAATTTTCATGTTGTTCTTCCAACAAAAAAATTTCTCCTTTGTTTTTTATCTCTCGCTCTAGATCTCTGTCGCCCTTTTTCTCGTTGAGTTTCGCTGGCCTGCCGCTTTTTCTCTTTTTTTTTTTGTCTTTCTCTGGCTCTATATTCCAAATTTGTGGACATGACAATTAATTTAAGCTTAATACTTTAGAAAACACGGATACAGAAACAATTTCCGCTTTCGTCTTTATTGAATTTTTAGCTGCCTCTGCTTTACAAGACGCGGGTGGCTATGCGATTTCCCGCCAAAATAACCTCGATTTGCATTTGGGTCGCCATACCTGTTGACTGAGTTATTTTACATTGGTAGGCCTGTGGTGCGGACGGACGGTCGGGCGTACGGTCACGTGATTACCAAATTTTCTCAGATGGGTAGATTACCACATTTTCTTACCCATGGTGCTCCGCTGCGCGCTTCGCGCACGAGAGCTCCGCTATAATATATAGATTTAGCCAGGGCTAAAAGCGAAGCTCTCGATAATATTTATAGTTTGTTCAAACAAAATAAAAAATCGTGTAATGCTAAGCGGCGAAGGCAACGCCGGAGAACGGAGAAAAAACAACAATAGGTCTAATTAGCAAAAAAGCAACCTTGCACGTGCAGCACACTTTTTTTGTACATTTCTTTGCCGTTGTTTTGCACGACCGCCACGTGAAACTTCCAAAAACTTTTTATGGAGGAAATGTCGTACGTGTTCTCGTTCACTTTTTTTTTTATCACTACCGCTCATTTTCTCCTTGTATTGGTGGCCGCTAGCATTTCTCATTTTGTCACCGCCCTACAAAATTTTCATGTTGTTCTTCCAACAAAAATGTCTTCTTTGTTTTTTTATCTCTCGCTCTAGATCTTCTCGCTCTGTTGCCGTTTTTCTCGTTGAGTTTCTCTGGCCTTCCTCTTTTCTCTTTTTCTCTGTCTTTCTCTGGCTCTATATTCCAAATGTGTGGACATGACAATTAATCTAAGCTTAATACTTTTGAAAACACGGATACAAAAACAATTTCCGCTTTTCGGTTTCGTCTTTATTGACTCTTTAGTTGCCTCTGCTTTACAGACGCGGGTGGCTATGCGATTTCCCGCCAAAATAACCTCGAGTTGCATTTGGGTTGCCATACCTGTTGATTGAGTTATTTCACATTGGTATGCCTGTGGTGCGGACGGACGGTCGGGCGTACGGTCACGTGATTACCAAATTTTCGCGGATGGGTAGATTACCACATTTTCTTACCCATGGTGCTCCGCAGGCGCGCTTCGCGCGCCAGAGCTCCGCTAAAAAAAAGCTTCAAGCTGATGGTTTATCTATAGTTTTAGTTGCATGAAGTGCATGCATAGGCAACAAAAACTCCTTAAATGTATAGTGGTTGTGATAAATCTTAGCCTCATGATAAGTCTTATTTCGGCGGTAGTTGAAACGAAGGTCTTTGTCTGTGATTTAAACTAATTAACAGACCTACATGTACCATGGATAATAGAAAGACCCAGTCTTTCTATTATCTATGCATGTACATACACACATTGCATTGCAGTACCCCTGGCTTGCCCACCCTGACTGCCAAAGTAAAGGCCAATGTATTTTTAAGAACTTTGTGGATGGCAGATGAATTACAGGATTATGTTGCTGTGATGGCATGCTTGTGGCTCTCTCCTCCGAAGAGGCCTTCTTTTGTCGAAGGGAGGATGGGAGAATGGAAAAAGAGAGCGCACGGGGTACGATAGGCGCGCTTTCTATTTTTCGATTGTTGCTTTTTTGGGATACCTAGCAGGAGCCTTTGCTGAGGAGAGAGTGTTTGTTGGACATCTGTAAGGTCGTTGATCGTTGGGTTTTGTTTCTTTTTGTTTATTTAGACTCAGCCAGTACCAAATCCTATGAGTTACTTTATGCACCAGTCTCCTGAGATTTTCCATAAATTTGAGACTCTGACAAATCACTTCATAGAATTAGTGGTTCCATGTTTCATTTTTCTTACAAGACCGTTTAGAATTACATGTGGCATTTTGCAGATTTTATTTCAGGTAAGGATCCTTTAACAATATTGGCCTCTTCACAACATTTTGATTAATTATATAACGCTGCGCCATCGTACATACCTTAACGGCCGCCCGGTTAGCTCAGTTGAAGGCGTGCCGATCTCATGAAAGCGAGGCTGTGATAATGGGTTAAAACCCCGGCCAGACCAACAACCTAGGTCTTTACACTAAACTGGTGAGAACATGCTAGCTGCGATTAAAACCACGTTCTCAGCGTCTTCTTTGTCTTTAAATGTCAGCATCAGTTAATCTGAGAGGACGTAAAAGAGCCCGTGACAATGATTCTATCTGACCTGTGTCGTCATTGGTCTGGGTGGGCGAGATGAGACAAAAAGACTGACTGATTCGGCTCCATAGTGCGCCTTAACTGGCTGACGTCCAACCTTACATCTATGCTCCCTCTGCAATGCGGCCACTGACTGTACGCGGGAGAAAACTGTATGTTCTAAACTTTGACGCATCAAGGAGCAATAGAATTCTACAGCACGCACCATCCCGATCTGCTCCTTTCCAGTACCACCAAATAAGCTGCAACAACGAAGGCGGCGGCCGCGAAAACGTCACTTCAAAAAAGTGAATTCGCGTTGTTTCAAACTTTATCGCTCTTACTCCACCTCGTTCCACTTGTTAAATGTTGGCGCATTTTTCTGGAATTGAATTGTAAAGGACTGTATCTAAGTTTATACAAAGAAAAAGAAAATCGTAGTCTTGCGTACACGTCCTCCATAAAAAGTGAAATTTAGGGGCTGTTTATATGATTCCAGAGTGAGTTTCATTCCAGAATGAAAACCGGAATGAACTCATTCCAGAATGACCTGTACGCGAACAAAATTTATTCTCGGTATCATGTGAACAGATGCAAAGAAATATATGGAGATGGCATGAACTCGCTTTGGAATGAAAGTAATTCCGGTAACATGTAAACAGCTCCCGGCCTCTTAGTTTCACGCCTTAGTCGTATCTCGACGGCAAAGAAATGTACGAAAAAGCGTTATGTACATGCAAAGTTTTTGGTTTTTCTGATCTGCTTTTTGGACGATCTTGTTGACGTCGCCGTCGCCGTCCTCGGTTGTTACTTATTAAGCTCCCTAATATCAAGTGTGAAGTACTCATTGTAACTGCATTTCTCTGCAGGTCATTTTAATAATCAGTGGTAACTTGGGTTTTTTAAACTGGCTGACCATTGTACCAAGCCTGATGAGCTTTGATGACAAGAGTCTGGCTTTTCTGTTTTCTTCGTCCTCAGCTAAGAACGATGTCATTAAAATACAGCAATTTCAAAAGGCTGGTGCTGGACCAAGGCCCACATGGGGTACTGAATTTCATTTTATTCTACCAAATTAATAACAGATAGCGACCATTTTTGGTTTTTACCTCCCATAAGCACCCACTTTACACGTGTCTGATCTACAACCTGTGCAAATGGGATAATGCTACACCACCCCTGTAAGTAACCCCTAATGGAAGTGGGTTTCTGCGAAACTGCCCACCTAGCCCTCCCCTAAGCCAACATTAACACTTTTGTGTCACTTAAAGCAAAATGTTGGTTTAGGGGATGGGTAGGTGGGCAGTTTTCCTGAAACGTATAATGATCCAGTGAAAGTTAAGCTCCTTATTTTACGTGAGCCATGCACGTCAACCGGAAGTGAGTTTTTTTCATCTTTTATAATGCTTTGACACCACCAAATTTGTATGGCTAAGGTTCTTTACTCTTACAGAGACGCTTTGCCCAAACGTTTGTTCAAAATCACCGCTCGAGTGTGCATAAAGTCCACTTCCGGTTGATGTGTTGAGACCGACAATGCGCTCATTTATCCCCTTATCTCTCCATCAGTACTCTGTTATACGGGTATTTGAAGCTACTTAAAGCTACACGGAAAGGAAAGAAGTCGAAACAAGGATTTGAGCTCACACCTGGAAATCGGTCTCGGGACCTTCCGCATAGAGGGGGCGGCTCACTAACCAACTGTGCTTTATCCTTGTTTCATGTTCGCTCTTTCATCACCACGTTTTATTTCAGATATCTAATTTGGCCTATGTACCTATTGGGATGCTCCCAAATAATGTGTGCTCATTAGCTGAACCTTTGATAAGGAGGAAGGATTAGTGGGCGGCCTCTTGTGCGAGAGGTCCGTCGGTTGATTCCCACGTGTGACCTCTAATCCTTCTTTCGACTTCTTTCCTTTCATATAATGTAGCTTTAAGTAGCTTTTAAAAATACCCGTAAAATGGAGCAGTATTAGAGAGAAAGGGTGGGGGTCATGAGCGCACCGTTGTCCTTTGGCTATGTTCACTATACCGGGCAGATTTTGCGCCGGCACGAAAATCCTATAGGATAGGGCTTCTGTTCACACTCGGCGCGATTCCTGTAACGGAGCGAAGCTGTGCTGCGCAGATCCCGAAAAAGAAGCGTCACATATCGGGTAGGTTCTGTGCCACACTTTGATCCAGTGTGAACAGTTATTCCGCTGACCAGAATTGACTAAGTATGAGCGAGGACTGGAATCCACTGAGATGGAGGTAAATATTCGAGCCCTCTCGACCAATTACTCCGGCACGATGTTCGATGTGTGTGAACGACTCGTTCAAGTTCTGTGCCGATGCTGTTCTTACTTTTCCCGATAGCTTTTCGTGTCGACACCAAAAGCTGTGTGAAATAGTATGAACATAGCCTTTAAGGTGATGACTATTTTGAGCTACCCATGTAAAATAAACACTTTGTACTCCTCTTGTGGTGTGGATTACCGACTCGATATAAATAATGACACTGCAAGCCTTAAAACTTCTTCTAATAGCCAAAAGAGTGCACCATTTTCAATTTTGGGTGATCGGCTATAAAAGATCCGTGTACAATAACGTAAACTTCTAGATTTTTAAATGGTTAAACTAGTGTATTTTCAGCAGAGAGTTGTGACTTTCACGATTATGTTGTAGAACCTGTGTTATCTTTTTTTTAGGTCTTTGTGTTCGTCGTGTGTTTGAGGTCATGCTTGGTATCATGGTAGCGTATTTAAGTATTCCGGTGGTGCAGAACCTGCTTTCATCTCGCCAGGCCATGAACACTTCATTTGATTCCTTCAGAATAGTGAACACTTACGTAGCTTTTGGAAGGTAAAGGAAGCAACAGATCGCGCAGCTTACTCTGCATGATCTTCGACAATTTTGAATTCAGTAAAGAATTAGAGACGAGAGACGAGTACTAGCCAACGAGGGCGAGGTTTAACTTAAAGTTTTTTCGCGTGTTCTAAAAAAATAGACACCCATAAAGCTTCATTTTACTATTTTTTCACCAGAAAAGTTGACACGGCTATTTTTATTGAAGGAGGTTATAGACCTAAAGCTTAACTCCCGTCCGCTCAAATTCGTGGTAGAATGGCGACGGCTGTCACGTTTTCCTGCCAGAATGACGCTGGTTCACGCGCAAAGTATTGAGAAACGTGATTGCAAACCTCCAGTTTCAGTGTCCACGCTATGCTGCCATAATCTACCTAAATTACACGGAAAAGCAAGCAATTTGTTGATTTCGTTATATCTAATTTCCTTCTTTCTCTAGTTCTCAATTTTAACTGAATCAACTGAAGGCTAACTCGATATATACTTCTGATTGTTTTCAATATTTAGCATTCAGGCTCCAAATATTTACGAGTACAATTTTCCTTACTTTAATATTTCTTGTTTGTTTGTTTGTTTCAGTTGTGCTCTGTCAATCTGCTTGAAGCGCAAGTAAAGTTTAAAATGTTGAACTTCACGCGATTTATCGCAGGAACAAGGCCCAACATCCGTGTGATCAGGGAAAAGGATAATGCACTGTTTGACCTTTTACGTTGCTTTTCCAGCGTAACAAAAGAGAGAACTGAAGTGATATTTCAAGGAACAAGAAACTTAACTATTATTCCCGATCATAAAGGAGGCATTTGGGAAGAAAATCAGTTTCAGTGTAAACCTGGTGACCCAAAAAGGCGGCCATGTGTTATTTCACCATATCACTACAGACTGGACTGGCTAACGTGGTTTGCAGCTTTTCAGGTCAGTATGCTGTTAATGAGGCTACTTGCACATGGCTTATGGTCAAGTCGCCCGAAATGTGTCTCTTCTGAAGTTATGTCGCTGAGAGTTTCAACTGACTAGACATTTTGGGCGACATAACTCTAGTTTTGTGCGACATATATCTGCTGGCGAGATGACCGTTCGGTCGACTTGATTGGTTACCTTGGAGGACGGGTGGCTTAGCTCGTGGTAAGAATACTCGCCTCGTATTATTGCCTGACGTGTCAGTCCCAGACGTTTCTAGTCTCTGCATAGTGGCGCACGGGATGACTTCTCACCCCTCCATGCGCGTTAGGGTAGACGGTTGAGGACGAGTAAGTACTATTGCGACTAATCGAGACCAGGTTTGCATCAGGGAGGAGAAGCTTAATGTGGGTCGCTTTTTTATTGGTTCTAGCCCCAGTTCTGAGACCTAAACCCACCCCCCTCCTCGGCCCCACCCTTAATCTTCCAAATCAACTCCATTGGATGTAGAACGCACAATAAGAAAACTATTTGTCTTGCCACAGGTTTGACCGTTTGTTGGGTGTTTTTCTTATACTGATCTTCCTTAGAGTAGTATAGTAAATAGCAAAACCCTTTTTTGCGAGGACGTCTACTTATCTTGCGCTTAAACGCACGGGAGCACCATTCATACCTGGTCATCCGGGCCACGGGAAGGTTTAGCTGTTTGCAGGGCAAAGGTAGTACCTACGTTTCTGGGGTGTTTTAAGACACTGTATATTAGCCTGTCCCGGGGTTTTAACCCGTGACCTCCGCTCTGCAGTAAAGCGCTCTACCGAATGAGCTAGTCCTTCCTTGGTTTATAAGTAGTACGAAACAAACCTTATACAGGTACAATGAACTGTCTGTTTCAGAATTATCAATACAATCCCTGGCTGATTCACTTTGCGACCAAGCTTCTTGTTAATGATGAGCAGGCAACATCTCTGATCGCTCATAACCCGTTCATAAATGGGTACACCTCCAACGTAAGTTTGTTTTCGGGTTATTTATCACAAGGCTGGGGTTTCTACGTACTTGTACTACATGTCGACTCGGACTAAACGCCAGTTTCCATATTAACTTTTGCATAATCTCTATCTTCCCATTCGTCGTGACGTGTCATAAGCTCGATAGAGTCGACCGGAGTTGAAGGAATCAGACCGTTTCCTTTTCTTTCAATTCCGTTCATGATTTCTTTGAATAGACCTCTTTAGGGTCTGTTTACATGGAGTGGGGGACCCCGGTCTAGTGGGGTTGGTTTCTTTTGTTTTCACGCTCTGGGAGACACAAAACAAAAGAAACTTACCCCACTAGACCGGGGTCCCCCATTCCATGATAGAGTGTTTTCACTCACGTGGCCAGCATCTATGCAAATGTTTTGGAACAAAAGAAATCATTTGCATAAGAAAAGAGTTCATCTCCCACAGGACTGGTTTGGGACACCAACATGGCCGCCGTTTCATTGTTTTGGGACACCAATATGGCCGACGTGACGTCATGTGAAAGCACTCTATTGTATGTTTTGTTTTCCCAATAGACAGCCCAGGAGAACTTGACTCTTTGTCCTTCCGAAAATTATGGGTACATACATATGCACGTGAATAAGACGAAATTTGAAAGAAACAGTTCCCTAGAGTATTATCATATGACCTGTATTTGGGAAAACAAAACTGGAAACGACGATTTTGAAGGCAAACAAAACAGTTTCCGGTCCCAGTAATCATCGGAACTAGAGTAAACCAGTCACCGTGCTTGTTAATCGGAAGGCTGTTTTCACTAGATCATAACACTTTGCTCTTCAGATTCCAACTCCGTCATTGTGAAAGCCAGCCTTTTTTTAGTGATTGGCATTAAAACGGTTGACTTCAACTGGTATTGCATTTCTTGTCTTTTAGATTTATCCGGGGAGAACACTACCTCTACAAGTTCACCACGCTTGGCAGCCGAGAAGCTAGGGCTGGGTATTGGTGGACGCGCACAAAGATAGGCTCTTATTTCCCACCAATTAACTTACAAGCTGTCAGGGAGTACGTCAGGTCTAATGGATGGAAAATGCCTAAGCTAAAGAAAAACCGTAAAAGTTCACATTAAAGTTGAACTAAGAATATTATGCAATTTAGATCGCAACAGTGTTTATAAAAAGGCTGGTAGCCAACAGAAGGATACCTAATTATAGGGTATACACTTCGTAATTAGAATATTAAAAGGAACAAAAAACCACTCTTTCAGGAATTTGTTGATTTTGCATTCTACTTTGGAGTGTCTAGTTTAGTCTTTTACAGAGCTGCGTAAAGCTCCGACCAAGTCATTATTTTGGTCGGGCAAAGCAAAAATATGGTCGGATCAAGGGTGCATTACGCGTCTTCAACGGAACTTGTGCTTGGTAGATGAGGCGCTGGCAGGAATACATAGATTTAGCCAGGACTTAAAGTGAAACTCTCGTCAATAAACCTGTAGTTTACTCAAGCAAAAAATAAAATCGTATAATTCAGTCTAAACGGCGACGGCAACGAGAACGACAAAAAAAAGTCAATGGGTCTATTTAGCAAAAACATCAACTTAACCAGCTAACTGGTTATGAAAATGTCCACGTGATCTGTCGCGCCATCTGTCACGAAAACCAGTCACGTCATCGTCTATTGCATGGACAACTGATTATAACACCCACTTGATTAATGAAAACGTCAATCACGTGACTTCTTAGCTTTGGTATACAGTGGAACCCGGTTAATGCGGACACAAAGGGGGCATTCCATAGTGTCCGTATTGTCTGGGTGTCCGTATTAAGCTGGCTCTGAGAAAAAATGTCACGTTTTTGCCCCCGCGGGGGGGACTGGGAGGCATCCTAGTAGCTCGCGCAGTTAAACGGCGGGTAAACTGGGGGAAGTTGGAGCCTATCGCGGCTTGGTTGATTTCGGTTTTACTGTATAACAGGTGCTTTTTGTACTTGCCTAAGTTCACTTCCGACTCATCTACAGTCTGTAGCATACTGAATCCCTCAATAAGCCCTCCGAGTGCTCACTCATTCATTTATTTACTTTCTTATTTTAATACTTATTTATTTACTGATTTGATTTGCAGCATTTTAGTTCTTGATCTTTCTGTTTTGTTGTTGTTGTTGGTTTTTATTTATTTTTTATTTTTTTGCAACGTTCGCTTTCCGTTCAGGTTAATGTTGTTAGTAACTTAGATCTGTATGTGTTTGGAAAAATCTTTCCAGCGATAGTGCAACAGCTTTCATAGTGGCGGCCTGGGGCGGATGTGACTGGAATTCAATCCTCCCCTCCTCTCCCCTGAAATGCTAGCTGGTCACGAAATTACGCCGCGTTATCGATAATAACCTACGTATAGCCGCAACAAAGGAAAAACGGAGAGAACAAAAAACAGTTGCTCTTCGGGCAGTTCTGGAATGCGGAACGTTCCAAAAAAACTTGGTTCAAAGCAGCTTCCTAAGTCTCTTTCATTTGCGAAGTAAGCAATCTCGCCGCCATTTTCCCGTGAATTTTACCATGTGCTTCAGTGTTTCACATTTCACCCAATGAGCGCCTCCGACAGAAATCACGAGAAATGATCGAACGGGCAGGCAATGAAAAGCTATTGTGTATTTTCTTGCAAAAAAAGAGTGACGTCATATAGCACGATTTCGGACAATATTCGTAGACGCTGGGTGCGGTTGCAGGTAGGCTATTATCGATAAGCATTCCCCCATCATTGCTTTCCTTTTACACAGCCGGTTTCTGGTCCTTGGCAATGAGTGGCTATTATTGTCGCAGTGAAGATGTATCACCATTCTTGTTAGCTTCACCGGCCAGGATCAAACGGTCGTTTACTTTCTCTTCTCAGGGGCGGATCCAGGATTTTTTTGGGGAGGGGGTGCACTCGTCTCTTGCTCTACTTCAACACCAATAAACCACATAGGTTTTTTTTTTTGCAGAACAGGTCAGTTGTATAAGAAAACCGCAGGTCATCTCAGGGGGGGGTGCGCACCCCCTGCACCCTCCCCCTAGATCCGCCCCTGCTTCTTTGACCACAGTTGTTAAATCAAACCGCTCTCTCCCGCTAACTCGAACCCTCGCGCTAAACCAAAGTCGATAATCAAGCTTTGTTGCTTAATTTTTTTCAAAATATCAATCTTTGCTGCCCTTGAAGTGAAGTGTACACGACACTTGCATTCCCTCCCCATCCACTTGCTTATTTCCGTTAATATTTCCGGTCATCTGCTTTGAACTCTCGATGACTTGAACTCCCGAAAACTTAAACTTTTCTCGATTTCGGGAGTCGACAATTCGTGTACCTTGTTTTTTTGACTGCGGTATTGCCGCGGTCAGTAGTAATCAGGTAACCAGGCAAAGTAGAGTCCAGTCCCCATGCGTCCTTTACGAACAGCAAGTGGAAGGGATGGCTGCGGTGCCCGGGGGGGTACTTTAGGAATTTCTGGGTGGGGATGTGCCGCTGGGACCCTGGAACCCTTAACCTATACCAGAGCTAGTTCAGCTGAATTTTGCTACCCTATACTAGAGTAAACTCCCCAAATCCCCCTATCCTAGAGTAGCTATTTCCCTTGTCTAGATAAAATCTTCAACCAACTGATCAGTTTCCTGAAAAATGATAACCTATTCTAGACCCAAACGCTCTGATTTACATACCCTATCCTAGAGTAAACTGCCTGAAAACCATACCCTTCACAGCGGCACATACTTATATAGCCCATATATGGCAGTAACCCCCCCCCGGGCTGCGGCGTGAGATTTCGTGAAGGTCTTTCTAAAGGTAAAGGTAAACCACTCAAGTATTGCACTTTTTTAATATCAATAATCTTGTTTATGGCTTCAGAAGTTATTTATTAATAGTATCCCTTTTCTTTTTTCGAAAAATGTTCGCCCCAAACCTCTCTGACAACAGTCACGTTTTGCAATTTAATATGCTCATACAAACTTGCACAGACCAACTGACCAGACTGAAATTTGTAAGTCTCAAAAGTTTGAAAAAATTGGCCTTAAACTGCCCTAAATTTGAGCTCCCAAATGTTTAAAGAAACGTACAAATATATACAGAGGGGGGAGGGGGCATATTTGTCCCCTACCATAAATTTCTTTTAAATATATGAATATTGGTAAGTTTGAATACTCACATCTCTGAATGTTTGCAACATGAAACTTAATTGGCAGTTTCAGTGTGTTCACTTTAACAATCCAACCAATGGAGAAGGTCTTTGCAGGAACATTCTGTGTGACTTCAGTAGAAAGGTCTTGCACTGATAAAAAGGGAGTTTGAGCAAACACCTTTTTGAGTGACACGTGTCAATCAGAAGTGAGTTGAAGCCTTTTCCCTTTTAGTATGACATGATGCTACCAAATTTGTATTCAACCACAACAACAAATTTTATTTTTAAATGAAAAGCGATTAATTACAAGTACAGACTACCTGCAAATATTCCCAAGTGTCTTTTTCTCATAGAGATAATTTGGCCAGAAAATTTGCTCAAAATCATGCCCAAGATTGCAAAAAGTCCACTTGCAGTTGATGAGCGTCGCTCAAAAATGTTCCGCAAACTCTTTGATATCATTCCTGTTGTGGAGGAGGTGTTCGCTGCTATTGGCAGAGGTGGAAGCTTTGATCAGAAAGCATTGTTTGAAGTAACTTACAGGAGTTTCAACTGTAGTATGATTAGTTATACCTGACTGCATGGAGGTAAACTCCAGATAGACAATGTCCAGCAACGAGAGACAGTTATTTGCAGTTGATCTGCTATAACGTGCTGTGTATGGTGTTTTATTAACAAGGGGAGAGGAAGGGGAGAGGTCACCAGCACCTTAGGACCCCTCACATTACAGAATACTTTCTATTGATCTTCGTCAACGGTAAAATTGCAGTTCCCATGACTATTTGTGGGCTCACAAAGGATTGCCGCGGCATTTCGTGTCCTTTGACTCTCTCAGTGAAGTGTTAGCTTATTCGTTTCCATGATGGAAAGTTAACTTAAGCAAATCGATAATTCAAAGCTTTTGTGCTACTGTCTCCTTTTATTAGGAAATGCAATCGCTCAACTTGTTAATTATTTTGACTTTATAAAATATTTTAAGTATTTAAGCCAGCGGAATGCATAGAATTCCAGAAAAACAAATGTGAAGTTGAATGGTTTTAAATTGCGCTAGAAGTTGTTTTGATCAGTATGCAAATTACTGCTATCTATTGTTTCCATCAAACTAAAATAGCCTGGCTCTTTTACGACTTTTTGATTTGCTTTGTTTCATTTTATATTTTTTTGTGAATCATAATTCTTTCATGTGAATTTATGCTTTCAAAAGGAAAACAACTTTGAGGAAATGTTGCGTTTACAGCCACAGCGATACATGTCTATTTCACTTCACTTGCTCTTATACACAAATTACCCTAAATCATTCAGTGGATTTGGGTTTGACCTCACCAACCTATTGTAGCTTGTTTTTTTTGTGTGCACAACCTCCTACAACCATTGCTCATATTAAAACTCCAAAATTGTCGTAGCCCTTTAAATGTACATGTATACAACTGGAATCTCTAGTAATTTTACAGCCACCTCTTATAAGCAACTTGAACCACTTTCTAACCTTTTTTCGTGTATTCCATTGTTTTTAAACTCTTTAAGTAGCTGTTCAATGCATAGACTGATCTCTTTGTTCACTGTATATAATACTACACTACTCAGCCTATAAGATACAAAGAACTTTTTTTAAAGTGACAACATCCTCTATATACTTGCAAGGCAAATCTACCCAGGCGGCCTTAAGGAGATATTCATTGTGTGAAGCAAATTACCTTTTTTATTGGTTTTGTTTGCAGTACTATGCATGGGCTGTCATCATGTGAGGAGAATGTCATCACTTGTAAATGTTGAAAAACAAGGGAAAGTCGCTGTCCTAGAGCTGAACAGAAAGCCAGTTAACAGCTTTAGTTTAGACTTTTTACAGAAAATAAATGAAAATTTGGATCAAATAGAAAATGATCAAGACTGCTGTGGAATTATCATCACCTCTGTAAGTAACATTTAGTCAAATAACAAGCCAATTAGTAATTTAGGTAGTATACATGTAGCCAAGTAAAGTTTATGTAATACTATAGATAGCAATGACAGATCTTAATTTAAGGTGATTAAACTTGACGACAAAGAGTCTCTCCAACCTGATATATACCTCTAGATTGTTGTAGTTAAAATTTTTCTCCTGTGTGACATTTTGAGGTGAGTGAAAAGGATGCTCTATTCTGTGATTAATGATGCAGTTCATTTTGCTAATAAACAGTAAATCTGTTAACACAGTCATAATGGTGAAAAGGGGGAAACAGTGCTCCATTGCATGGCAAGCAATTTCCATCATCAGGGTTTACAATGTATTTCCCTGGTGCTACAGTATTTTTGAAGATCTGTGCCAGATCCGACAAGTCAGGCAGGTTCAAAACTTAAATTGTTACAACGGCTATTTTACTCCTCATGGTACTTACAAGCTGAAACCTCCAGCCCGTGTGCCAGCACTTGCATCTTAAGAATACATGACAAAATTCAAAATTTTCGTGTAAAGAATTTGGAAATAATTTCTGTCATAAGCTATAAAGCTTGGGGAAGTTGGTGGAGAGTGGCCACCAGCTGCACTTACATAGCACTTTATGGAGCCTTTGTCAGGGTGATGGACAAAACACTGACCCCCCAGTCCTTGACCCTTTGTCAGTGACAAAATCAATATTTAATCAGGGCCTTCCCAAAGTATCCTCTACTGGCCTTGATCTTGTGAAAGAAGTTTACAAGCCTTCTAGTGAGAAGCAACTTTCAACTTTTTGGCAAGCTTTCCAGGAGATGTGGTTCGCGTGTATGGCTCAAGACTACTCACTGTTGCTGCAATAAATGTAAGTGTATCTCATAGACATTATTTAGTTTAAGCGGGAAATTAACTCTGTTAAGAACAGCCATTTTTTTGCTGTTACGTCCAGTTTTACATTTGCGCTTTTAAGTAACATGGCCTTTGGGTGCAAGCAACAGGCTATATAGCGGTAACTTTGTTTTGGTAAAAAGCCTCGGCATTCTAACGCATAATGTGATGATGCTTTTCATCGAAAATCAGTCACATTCCAAACAAAGCGGGGCCATTTCCAGTAAGGGCAAGCAAAAACAGTATACAACTGTAAAAATGGTCTATTGACTATAGAAGAAAAAGTCACTCTAGGGTAAGTCATTATGTCTAGGTCTAAGTCATTATGGTTCTTGATCAAAGCTCTATGATGTAGTCTGCAAAAACTGTTAGAATTATATGTGATATTGTTATTTACTGCCTACTTACTATTGTTATTTTTTTCTTTACCCTTGTTGTATTTTGAATTCACTTGTATGACATTAGGACAAGAAAAAAAAAATAAAAGAGAAGTGGATAATTGTGGCATTTCTCTTTTGATAGGGACATGCGTTAGCAGGGGGGTGTGTTTTGAGTTTAGCCTGTGATTACCGTATCATGGCTGAAGGACCCACAATTGGACTAGTGGAGACAGAGGCAGTGAGTTTTACACAAACTGATGGCTTAGTTTAACATGTAGAATAACTTGTACTGACGCTTATTTTAGCATCGCCCCATGTAAGGGAATTCGAATTCCGAAATCTGGGAACGTTTTGCTTGTGGGATCCGGAATCCTGGGCTTTGGAATCCGGAATACTGCTCAATGAATCTGGAATCCCACGGAAAATTGGAATCCAGAATCCAATTTTAACTTTCAAAGACTGGAATCAAGTATCTGGAATCCAGAATCCACGGTGTGAAATGCAGAATCCAAGGCTGTCTTGGATTGCCTTACATTGGTCAATTTAGCAGTTATGTTATCTAACATGAGTTTTATCACCTGGTTTGTAACATGTGTGAGACAAAGTGTTGTCCTTGACTTTCTACTTCTTGACTGATATCATGTTTTTTTATTTTTTTTATTTTTGCAATTTCTTAATCTTTTTATTTGATTAATTTTATTTATCTATCGTAGTCGTTAATCTTATCTTTTTTTTTTTCATTTGTTATTTACTCATTTACTAACTTTTGTCTGCTGTGGGGAGACCAGGTGGGAGGAGCTAAGATATTACTCCCGCCATAGCTAAAAATTGTAGCCTGCTAGTGGCCAAAAATTTTATCGAATGTCACAATACTTTTTTTATACTTTATTCAACTTTTTGTTTTCTATTTTAGGGTGTTCCGCCACCTCTCTGGTAAGTTTGTCAGTAATGGCAAGTACACACTAGTGAAGCCGTTTTCTAGTCAACATCTAGCGAAAAAGAAAAAATGTTTTCGCGAAAGCTCCGAGGATCGTGAAATTATTTCAAAGGAAGTACAAGTGAGAAGTAGAGTAAGATTTTCATCGGAATCTTCCGGTCGAAGTGACATGATTTTTTTCACTTTCTGTGACCCGTTTGAAAGAATCGCACTGATTTCAGTATTGTTTGCAAGGTCTCACCCCTCTGCACAAGTCGGGTTTTCAAAGTTTCCCATAGGCTTTAAAATTGATGACGTCATAAGTGGTACAAGGGTGTGGTCCAGGGGTGCATGTGTTGATATTTTATGAAGACTAAATAAACAAAAGTAGAGTTTTATTAGCTTCTTTTAAGCTCCAAGTTTTCTGCAAAACCCAAGGATTGTTGAGGTATTGAACAGGTCTATAGTGAGTAGAGGAAAATCGTGAAGATTTTCATCGATCTTGCGTTTTGTGTTTTATCAAATCTTGTACACAATAGCCTACTTTTTGTTCTTAAACTTGTTAAAATTGTCTAGCTTGTTTATTAAACTGTACTTAGTATTTATTTATTTATTTACTTATTTTTAGGGTTTTTAACAATCTTGCAGCTGTTGTTGGCAAAGGAGCTGCTGAAAAGGCGATCTTAAGCAGTAAGCGATGATACACTGCTAAAGAAGCCCTAGATATTGGAATGATGGACAAAGTTGTACCGAAAGAGAAGCTGATAGATGAAGCCAAATCGCAACTGAATGAATTGACAGTGTTTTCTGTTGAGAAATGTTCTTAAAACAGTTTAAAGTAAAAGCAAGCGAAACGATTTTATTGCACAAAAATATGACCTAAGACTAAAATTCCCATGTTTTACCAGCGTGACACCATTTTGAATAGTTCTATGAAATTTTTAAGGTGGTTTAAAGCATTCGACACAAAATAATGTTGCCGGATTTTTAACTAAAGAAACAACCGAAAAAGAGCAGCAGGCGAGAAATTTAAAAGCAAAAATAGGCGATAGTCCCAATATTTGTATGGAGTTTGTGTTATACGTCTTCGTTTTTTTCGACTCTCCTCTTTACTCGCGGAAATAGCATATTCCTTCTACTGTTCTTCATTAATTTTCCTCATGCAGGGAGGAACATGCAACTGACTAAGATGGTTACGCGTAAAGATGCCGTGGAGGCTTTGGAAAACAGGCGCGAAGAGGACATCAAAGAGTTTGTTGACTCCATAATGGACGAAGAAGTCCAAAAAGCAATAGGCCTTCAAGTTGAAAAATTGCATAAAAAAAAGTAAATTATGTCCTGTAAGGGCCTGAGGAAGCTCTGTGAAATTAAGTGATGGTGTAGGCGACGTATTTCCTCTTTGCTAGACTGCAGAACAGTCTGTACTTTTGCGTAGGCCAAGACAGCGCAAGCGGTCAAACGAAAGTTAATCTTAGGGTGGGGGTGAAACGGAGTGTTAGATTGGGGAGAAACGGAAAAAATTTTCTCGCCTAACGAAGCTTGCGTGCTTCGTGGAAAAGTCACATATCGGTCCCTCATCTTTGAAAAACTGATTTTGAGCAAAAAAATAAATAAATAACGTTTGTTTTGCAGTCTAGCCAGTTGCTTACGGCCGATGCTTTCCTTGGTAACTAAGCCTTTAGTCAACGTATTTAAAATATTTCGTGGCTCAGTTTTATCTTGGTATAGAAGGTAAATTTTATTGTGGAGCAAAGAATACTTTTAAATTGGACATGAATTTAAGGCTAACTTGTGCAAAATTTGCCGGTCCAGATACCATACATTGCTGGACCAAAAACAAACGAAAATTAAGTTTTGAATTGTCCTTACCTGAAGGGTATTTTAGACGTAAGCATTAGCTAGAGCTTTGTCGATAAACCAGTGTCACGCAAATAAAAGCACTCCAGGATCTATGTTCGTACTCATTATACTAAGTGCAAACTCAAGCAATAAAATCATAGAATTTTTCATAACACTCCACGTTTCCTACCTTGTCGGGTTCATAGTAGAGCTTCCGCACACGAAATGCGCGCAACAAAGTCCCATTGCATTGCTAAAAACATCAATAGAAACCATTCCGTCCGTCTCTGTAGACTCTGGGGGAAGGGGAGGGGAGATTCGATAAGGGAGGGTGAAGGAACTTATCTAACTTAGGCTTGCTTTTTCCTTTGCGGAAAGTTAGCCAGTCTAGAGGCAACCAATGCAGTGGCTCCGGTAAAAAATCTTGTAGTTTCTTGTGTCTAACGTAGGACAAAAAACTTTTAAAAGTACTTTCGAGGGCTTTACTTTTAGCATGGTCAAGCTCTTCGACCAATCCTGTCTCAAATCGGTCACAAATTTGCGTAAAACACCCTGCGAGAAGAAGTTAGTCTTTCGTGGTATGTTCTTGCGAGCTCACAGTACATTTCACGAAAAGAGAGCCTCTATTAGTACATTTTCAGCATTTCAAAGGTATCGAAATTTGAAATCTCGTTAGCCATTCAAAAATTAACGAGAATTCCATGCAAAGTGTCGGCTGCCCCGGTTCAGTTCGTTTCGACGAAGCCTAAGCTATTATGCACCTATCATTGTAAATCCCGTGTGGGGGAAAGGGCGGGCAGGGGGAGGGGATTTGATGCCTGGGACTATCCCCGCTGTCGGGCTTTTGATCGTGCGAGGCGACCCCGGGGTCGGGACATTTGACTTTGACCGACAGAAGCCTGGTATCAATTCAGAAGCAGTTACCCAGTCCGTCCCTCTAGGCTTCCTGAAAGTCACGCTGTTGGAGAAAGGTATGAAGTTTTCATTTGTTTTAATCGCCATAATCCGATACTTTACACTGTCATCTAAACAGATAATGTCTATTTTGAGAAAGTTTTTATCTTCAAGTTCCCATCTGATTGTAAAACTCGATTGGAATCAAATTCCACCATCAAAGTCAGAAGATTTTTTATGGGTCACTGATCCGACCTGTTCCGACATGTTGAGCAGATGTTATAAAGCATTTTACGTTTTATTAATATTATATAGCACGGTCAATCTCCCTGGAGTGATTTTGTTGTTCAAGATAAGAGATGCTAGTGGAGACAGAAAATACTTAATTACAGCGAGTAATTTAATGGAGCTTCCGTTAACCGTAAATAAAAGTAGTAACAACGTGTTTGAAATGTTCTTTTATTCGTTTTACATAGTATTATAGCATTGTTTGTTTATATTTTTTTCCCCTGGGCTGGGGGCTTTTTTGACACTTTTGATTGACCTTTCGTTTCCCACCTTGGGGAATTTGATCGAAAAATTATAAAATTTGTCAAATCCCCACCCCTTGCCCTCCTCCCCCACGGGGTTTACATTGATAGGTGCATTACGGCGACGACAGCAGTGAGAATGTCGCTGAAAAATGTGCTTGCCTTATTTGAAACTTTCCTAATTTTAAAGCAATTAAAACAAGATAGACACGCGTAAATATATTTCCTATTTAAGTTTAATTACTCTAATAATAACTGTTTCTACAATGTCTTGCGAAATCTTCTCTTCTACGTAAGTTATGAAAGTTCTGGTTTTGGCCAAAGATCTGATTTTTTTCGTAATAACGTTTCTACATTTAAGTGATCTCTGTTATCATTACACTAGGCATATTTTGACCACATACATTTCTACAAAAGAAAAAACAGCTTCATATCGTTCCTTGATGGTACTTTCCACCGGATTCTTTTACAAATGAGGTGTATATTAAAGCAACGACTGCTTCGCTTGATGATCTCAACTAAAGCTTTAGTAAAACGGGAAAGAAAACGTGCAACTTGTTTTACAACATGCAGCTAAAACGAGTTGAAAAGCTTTGCTGCGCGTTTTACCACCCACGTTCAAACATTTGATTGGTTAAGATTACGCGGGAGTTGCGTCACTTGCTGTCAAACAAGTTTTTCCGGGGTAGGTAAAACGCGCAACATCAGTACAGATTTTGTTTTAAAAAGTAGAGGTACGGTCGTATTCCCTACTTTCTGCAACAAAGTTTTGCAACCATTTGCTGCAGGACAGGTTTGAACGTGGCTAATAAAACGCGCAACGTCGCTTCTCAACTCGTTTTGCAGCAATGTTTCAAAACAAATTGCACGTTTTTGTTGCCCGTTTTACCACACCTTGAGCCTAATTTATTTGCAGCATACGTGTATATTTGGCACATTTTTAACGCGTACCTTGTTTCATATAAAGTTTTCTATAAGCTCCCAAAACAAACACCCCTTCAAAACGCGGGCCTCTTTACAACGTTGATAAAGTCATGTGTACGACAACTGTTCGGTTCAAAATTAAGAAAATCAGCGGTTCAGAGGGTAAAAAAAAATTAGCCTGTTCCAGGCTCCGAGATAGTGGTGAAAAGTCGTTCAGTAAAAAGAAATGCGAAAAACGCGCGGGGGCTGGGGAGAGACAGCCATTTTTCCCGCCGCCACTGCCCCCTTTCCCAAGTCGCGCGCGTCTTATTTTAACTTTCCTCCTTTTAAAACGTCCCCACTTTACTATTTGAGAGCCTGGCACAGGCTAAAAAATATGAACAGCCTCACCCATTTGCAAAAAGTTGCAAATGTCCGCTCAGTGATATCGAGTGGATGATCGATCTTAAAGGGGAAGTTGTTGATGTTAAACGAATATCCTGCCCGACTTATCCCTTTGTTAATCCGTCTATTTAAATGGATGGATTTTCTCTCTGAGACAGATGATTCAAATCTGGTGAAAACGACCAATAGCTTTCTCCAGAGTGTTTTTGATCGCCTTTTTTAAATTCTAACTTTAACTCCCGTCAGTTTACAGTTGAAAGTTGACTTATCGCATACCCCATCGCCTACCGCAAAAGCTGCTAGAAAACTGGTGCTTGACAAATTTCTAATATACGTGTATGCTACCAATAAACTCCATTTGTGATGTTTTCAGTGGGGAAACATTCCCTTGGGAATCGGACGTCACATGAATTTCATTGGAGCAACGTTGCTCACAAGCAAATTCAGTCTGTCATAGCTGACGTAAAGCCTTTGTTTTGGTGCTACGATCAAGGAACGCTTGACTAGCTTAAGACAAAAGAGAACATTTTCCTTCGCGCGAACATCAACAGGCGTGAAGGCTAGTTACATAACAATTAAAAAGAAGGAAAAAACACGAGATGTAATCCTTTAAAAAAAGGCACGCTATGTTTGAAGCCTTGAAAAGTTCTGCTTTATGTCACTTAAACAGTAATGTTCATGCTACGCTTTCCTTCCTTTCAACACTGGATTCGTCCAACGAAAACTTTCTTTCTTTTTGCTCCTCCCCTGTTCCATAACTAGTGTCGCCAGATTTAAACAAAGTTGACCCGTCTTCCCCTTCCAAGACCAGTCTTTTCTTTGCTTTGCCTTTTTTCTTTATCTTTTTTAGCCCGGTTTGATCTTCGCAGCTAGAGCCCAACACTTCTTCAAACATTTCACTGAACTCGTTCGAATTTTTCTTTGTTTCTGTTTCCTCGTCGACGTCTCCCTTTGTCTTTTCTTCTCTTTTTTCTTCCATAGCTTCTTGTTTCTTTTTTCTCTTCTTCCTCCTCTCACCCTCTCTCGGTCTCTCTTCGTCTGCTGCGGATATCTCCATGCTTTCCTTTCTGGATTCTCTTTCGACTTCCTCCTCGCTGCCATTCTCGCCGTTGTCTTCTTTGGCTTTTTCAGCTATGGTTTTCTTTTTCTTTTTCTTCTTTGTTTCCTCAGGTCCGGTCTTTTCTTTTTTATCCCTTTCGCCAATAACCTCTAAACTCAGCGAAGCTGCGCTCTTCTTTTTCCTCTTAGTTCCTCCACCGTCTCTTGTTTCTTCTTGCAAGTTATCTTCGGCACCCACATCAACTCCATCTTGACCCTTTTTCTTTTTCTTTTCAGTTTTGTCTAGTTTTCTTTCGCCGTCTTCTACGGCACTCATATGGTCCTCTCCATTTTGCTTTCCTTTCTTCTTTACGCGTTTGTTTTGTTTCTCCTCTACTTCAGAAGCAGTTTCGGTTCCCATTTTGTTTTTAGCTTTCGCATTTTGTTCACCATCCATTCCCTCTGTCGTATTTTCGTATGCGTCGTCGGGTTCTTTAGCGGTAAGACTTACGGTAACCCAAGCTTCTTTGATCGTCTTTTCTTCGACTGGCAATTCTGCAGTCTTCTTTCGCTTTTTCGTTTTCTTGTCTGCGAAGGAGGTTTCTGGATTACTGTCGCATCTCCGTGGAGTGAACGTATCTTCATATAAAATGCTGTCCAACTCCGCGTCTGTGGCGCACCGACTTTGTACATCGCGCTGTACGTCCTCAAGAATTGCCAAAAGTTCATTGTCAGACACTCCCTGATCAGCAAATGAACTTTTCCTCCTGTTTTCCTCAACATGTTGTTCTAATTCCACTACAGTTTCTGGTCTCACATCAGTATTTATTAGAGCAGGAGTCAACACTCTAGCTGCAGTTCCTGGAACTTTAGCTGAGCTCGTTGATGAAGTACTGTATGTTGAAGTTGACGGGCGTCGGTCACTTTCGGCATAAGGCTCAGTTTCCAATCTATTTTCGTCGTTACTCGATTGTTCATCGTCGCTTGTATTATCATGGCCGTCGCTGCTATCATCACTGTCACTGTCGCTTTGGGAGGAGCTATCTTCACCATTGATTTTATCGAATACCAGATCCTCCACCATACGCTTTTGTCTATAGGACTGCAGCATTGCCTCCAATTCCTCTTCGCTACGTTTGCTAAGAAACCGTTCAAAAACAGGAATGGAATCACAGAGCTCATCTTCATAATAATCCCAGTCCACTTCCATTAACAATCGTATCAGGTTTTTCTTCTTTTCAGTGCATTTTTCGTTTTGGAACCATCGAGTTTTACGGAAGTCTTCAAATGTAATGTTTCTCATAAAATGGATGACATTGTCGGCGTCGTCGACGATTTTGTCAAACTTGAGCTCCAGATCAGACTTTGGCTCTTTGTAGATGGGATGAATGGCGTGGCCGACTGTTTTGCCAATATTTCTCTTCAGGCGGTGAACCATAAAGTCTACTATTTCATAGTCGTTCGACTGCTTTTCTACATCACTGCGAACCTCAGTAAAAGTATCATTAATTATGGTGACAAACATGTTGATGAGGATAAACACTATTGACACTGTGTAGCTGTAGAAGAAGATGGGTCCAATGATACGATTGGCTTGAGACATTTCTTTCAATGCAGGCTTACCGAGTAATGTGTCCATTAGAGAAGCGCAGCTATCCAAGAACGTTCCAAAACCCTCCATGATCTGCCCAAAAACAAGGGTTGCAAGCAATGCGAATGCGAGAAACGCTAGGGCAAACATAATCATAAAAGACATCAACTGGGTGAAACATCGCTTTAGAACTTGCTGAAGCATTGACATTCGTCGGTTGAAACGCAGCAAACGAAACACTTTCAGGAACGAGAGGAAAACGATGATCCCGATTATGCACTTGAACCACTCGTCTAGGAACGCAGTGTAATGGAAACTTACAAAGCTTGTTCCAAGATTATTATTCATTGCTTTTAACGCACGCTTGGTGAAAGCCAGCCTGGCAAAGTACAAGCCCACTGCAGTCAAGGAAAGGCATGTCAGGAAGATTTCCAGTACGCTCCACGGGTTCTTTAAATGTTCCTTGCCTTTCTTTACAAACTGTTTTATCTCCTTAAATACAAAATATATACAAAACAAGAGGTATACAATTTCGCAGGTCAAGACGAAGTACATTTCACCACCGACATACCGGAAGAGACGGAGCGTTAGAATGCTTGGGTAGGGCGTCAGACTTCCTGTTGGCAGTTGTTCAAATAATAGAGTCACCACACTGAACAAGTTGGTATTGGCATTGTAAATGGCAAACTCGGAGAAGATAGCTCGAGTGTAACGGTCCAGCCAATTAGTGTCGTTCAGGTTTTGGATTGCATTTAGGGCCTCGCTTTCGTTATTGGGTAATTCCTGGACAAAACCTGCAGTGAAATTGAACGAGCTTTAGCAACATTGAAGTGTACTTTATCAATTTATTTATGCGCCTTTTCTCAATGTGTGAATATTAATATTAGTGTCGGATCTAAGATTGGAAGCCTCCTGCTTCCTAATTAAGCTCCCTAATTACCACACCATAACAACCTTATCTTACCCCCGGCGCTGTATGTCGCCTTGTAACCCCAGTACGGATACGTGTTCAGTTGTGAGCCCGTCTGGTACATCCAAGGGTCTGGTTTACTGTTCGTAAGCAGGCTTTGATTTGATGTCATAGGTTTGACTTTCCAGCCAGGTAGATATGAGCCTCTGTCCTCCTCATCAATGCTATAGAAATCATTGCACTCGTGGATGAAGTACAAAAAGTAACGTTTGAAAACGCAGGTATCTGCAACAGAGATCAATATCCCGAGATGAAAACATTGCAAGAAGATTGAGATTAAAAACGAGTATTTAATTCAAGACTGAGTTGAAAAACACGGATGGGAAAAGTGGATTGCAATTGGGATTTTCGAGACCTGTCCAGTTAACAAACCTTTTCAAAATCTATATTTTTTAAATCTAACTGTAGATATTAAGATGTATACTGTCCAATCTGGTTTCCAGGTTCTCTATCCTGTTCTCTATCCCTTCCCTACCCTCCGTAGGGACGGGTAGGAGAGATCCCTGGGAACGAGGCTGGTATACTGTCTTGTTTCTCAAGAGGCTGAGGTTTTCTTGTTTATAAGTAATTTCTTGACAAGATAAATAAGACTGCAATTTTTTACTCATCCCCTTTAACAGCAAGGGCTTCCGTATTAGATACCATCCACCAAATGAAACTCGTTGGGAAAATGCACTGTATACAAGATAAGACATACAACTGGAGGTAAGGCCTTAAATCTTTCTCGTCAGAAGAAGAGAGACCTTGGAGGAAGGATGGTCTTAAAGTGTAGGCGGCCTGGTTGGACGTTTAGAGCACTGGACTTGAAATCTGGAGGTGCTGAGTTCAAGCCTCGCCCTAACCACTTGCTGGATTTGTTCAGTCCACGTTAGTCCCGAGTTCAAATCTCCGGCTACGCTTGTAAATAGCTAACTAGTTTGCCTCCGGCCAGTTCACGGGGGTTTTCACCCTCTTTAGTTTGCTTTAATTTATTTGCTTGGCCCCACTGGCAAATATAGTGAAATATCTGAGCTATAAATACTGCCGTGGGTAAACTGGAGAATCCGCTCTTAACCCCCATGGTTATCTTTTTTTTTAGTAAAAAAAGTAAATCAAATCACATGTCCATACCTTTCTTGATTCTGAGCTGCCTGAGTCGGACCACGCCTAAAAGGAAGGCCGTTGGAGTATCTGCAAGGAATCTTCTGTCATAATCTGTTTTGTTATTGTAGTATTTACGAGGCATCAGATAAGGTATGAATATAGTTCTAATCCAAGTCCAGTAATGGCTAATCTGGTGCACCTGAAACCAATTGAATTAAACACATATAAATATCAATGGCCATTACGAACATGATCGTGATCGTGAAATGATCGTTTTTATCCTTCAGGAATTGCCCTCACTGATGAAATTCGAAACCGATGCAAACCTTTAAAGGAAATTTTGCCCGAGTGATCTTTGAAACCAGTTTACGCGTATTTTATTTGTTGCCAAATTTTTACTTCCTTGAATTTTTATTATAAATACTTTTGGATTGTTCTCGGCTTTGTTCCGTCAATAAGGCCTACTAGCTCCGGCAGCCACAAAATGTCACTAGTAACAATATTGTTAATTTTACGTATACTAGTTGACTTTACTAGCTAAGTGAGAATGTATTTAGCATCAAGTGCTACAGACGACAAAGTTTATGTAACTCCTAGGCCCAGTTGTTCAAAGGCCGACTAGCGGTTAAATTTAACCCTGGTTTCTTTTTCTTTTGTTCAAAAGCATTTTCTCGGATAATTTTCTCTGTTATTTTTAGAACTTCCAATCATCATCTTGCAGACTAAAAGAAATAAAACTGACATGTTTTTTAAGCTTTCAAATCTTAATTCAAATCTCGCACTAACCCTGGTTATCTTAACCCAGCTTTGAACAACTCGGCCCTGATGGTGACATAATTACTATTCTATTGCTACGAGATTATTTCAGTGCGAAGGACAAGCCATGTGCAGCAGTGAAAAGCCAACATCTACCTTCTTCCCAGTTTTTTTAAAGGCCCTTAGGACAAGTCCAGCTTCTGTTATCAAACCCACGAGCTCCCGAGGTGCAAAGGCTTAGGCTGTGTCTACACTTTACCGGAGAGCATTTCGTGTCGACAATAAAAGCTATCCCATATGGTATGAAGAGCAAAGGCCTGGGTCAAACCGTTTACACACATAAAAATCGCGTCGGAGCGGTTGGCCAAGAGGGTTTGGTACACCCCCGGATCAATCCTAATCGCTACCCTCGAATATTTTCTACCCTCTCAGTGGCTTCCAGTCCTCGCTAGCTGCTTATTCACTCCAGCTATAAGGAATATCTGTTCACACTGGACCAAAGTACGGCACAGGACCTATCCTATATGTGACGCTCCACTTTCGAGATCGGCGCGGCGCGGCACGGCGCAACGTCGCTACGTTACAGAAATGCGGTTGGAAATCACAGTTCTTATGTGTGAATAGAAGCCCTATCCGTTATGGTTCTCGTGTTGGCCCAAAGCTATTCGGTATAGTGTGAACTTAGCCTTAGAAGCACTTACCTTTCCGTATGTAACGTTTTCCCCATGAACGCTATCTTCAAATGTGTCCTTCATGTATTTAGTCACCTTGGAAGTTGTCAGATCTCGGTTGCCATAAGCGATTGTCAGGAGGACCAGTAGGAAGATAAAATACCATGCAATTTCCCGAATGATGGATTCCATTTGTCTTTCTTTCATTCTTAACTTGCGCGCTATCTCTAGCTTAGCCTCGTCTGGAGGTTTATCATTTATCAGTTGCTTGAGAGTTTGTTGCGTTTCGGGATCGAGATCCTCAGTGTTTTTCTGCAGCCACTCCTCATCGTTCGCGAGGATGTTTGCGTCCCCAAACGACTCTTGCTCGGCCTTTTTCGGGTCCTTTATAAGAAGGGCGAACAGGGTTGCCATGATGAACACTTTAATGGGCTGTTGAAAGAGCACGTCTTGTATGAAAGATATCGTTATTGATGAAAGCCACCGTGCAGATTTTTCTGGTCCGAACTCCATTCCATACATGATCACAAATGACGCTGATGTACAAGTGGCGATAAATGCGATGACGTATGCTACGTACACGAACCAGTGTGGTAAAGCAAACTTCTTTGGACTCTTTTTCTTTTCCTCACCGGCCTCGATATCTACATCTTCGCCTTCAATGTGTCCTGACTTCACTTCATATTGGCTTGCCTTTGGTTTGGCTTTTCGGAATATGGTCACAATGATTAGATTTGCTGGAAAGACGATCATGCTGCTCATGATTCCAATGGAAACCTGCCGGATGGAAAAACTAAATCCCATTATCCTGATGGCATTTTTAGGCGTTTCGTTTTCTCCCACTTGGTAAAACATAGCGTTAGCAATCAGCGTCGTCATGAGAATCGACAAACAGCAGGTCAAACGTTGCACGCGAGTAAAGTTACTTCGCGCCGGCCGGGCAACAACTGAAAACCAAATATGGCCGTCAGTTAGGTTTTTCCTCACTTCAGATGTGAACAGTACGTTAAACTTGGTCAGGTCTTTCTTGGAAGCAGGATACAGAATCCTCTCGATTTTGCCATCGCCTTCATCGACAGCCAACCAATCATCACAGACGAACCACCATCGTTGATCGGTCTGCAGATCTTGAATCATTACCCTGAGGAGATTCCACGAGGGGTAATTCCCACCGTTATTGTGCCATATCCGGATCTGCTTTATGCTGCCAAGTGACTGGGGCACAGTGAGTAGGAAGGGATCCACAGAGCCTGAAAAGCGTAAGAAAGTTATCAATTGACTTACAGTCAACTCCGACGTTAACAACATTTTATGAAGTTAAGAAATGATTCGTCGACTCTACTTACGAATAAAACGGTGAAACCTCTGCAGGTATGCTCTCAAGTTGGTAAATTGAATATTCGCAACTGAGATCAGGGACTGACGAGATTAGGTACTTGGGGTGCGCTTAACCTACTGCCTGGTCTATGGGAGACCCCAAGAGGAGCAAGATTTAAGATTCAGCCTGTTGGTGCTTGTTTATAGGGTTTTCTCTTTTTTTTTTTCGTTCTGAACTCCATGCAAGTACTTCAAACACCGTTTAACTTAAGTTTAGATTTTACGAAAAAATACAAACCTGTTTTAAAATTTTTCCTGTTAGGGTCTTTCAAGACTCGCGGCTCGGTTTCTTCAAGACCTCCGGTTAACACAATTGACACTTCTGCGCTTGTTCCTGCTCCACGAATAAATCCTGTGTGGACGTGTATCTCATAACAATACGTATCTCGAGAATCATTGTCTGGAAGTGGTGTGACTCCGGTCTTCAAGTATTCAAAAGACATAAAAGGAAAGAAATCGTGTTAAAAAAAAAACATTAATTAAAGCACAACCAGAGGATAGCTCGGTCAGGCGAGTGACCTTCTACCCAAGATATGTTTTCTTAATATAAACGGGACCTAAATAACTCGCCATGAAAGCCGGCTACAGTAGATTACTGTTGCCATCATACCGACGGTTGTAGTTTATTGTCAGGAAAAGAAACACAAAAGATAGACATTGTTCAAGATAACCGCTATTTTTGCACGTGCATGGGATAAACGTAATGTCACATGGTTTCTTTATCGCTTTAAAGACCACGTGACATACATACATTTATTGCGCTTCCTAAAGAGGGCTTTTCAGCAGCGATATACAAAAGTGGGTATAATAAAACTCGTGGTAGAAAGGGAAAATGTATAAAATTGAAAATAAAAGTTATGTAAAAAAAAAAACTATTTACAGTGTCTAAATGTTTTAAGTTCACTGTCGGTTTAAAAGCAGTTTAAATAGTTTTTTCTTAAAAGCCTTTTTGCTGAAGGAATAGTTTTTAAATTGACGGGAAGTGAGTACCAACGTTTTGCTCCCAGAAAAGCAAATAAGGCCTCTAAAAAGGCGATAATATGGCACATTGAGATCAATATTAACGGCAGATCGAAGTTGCTTAAAAAGTACTGTGGAAATGCGATCTATATTCAAGCAATTCTTAGGCAAGTTTTCAAGATAGCCGTCACCTGAAAATTGATCTATTGCTTTACCTTCCGGGGAGGGTACTCCCATACATTACCTATACGGGTATGTGCCGCCCAACGGGGTCCTGATTTTGAAGCTCCTGATTTAGAACGGGGTATCCATTTCAGAATCGTTTTCTAGAACGGGGTATAAAAAATTGTAGATCACGGCTTATCTTCTGCTTAAAATTGTTGCTAATTATGAAGAAGCATTTATTTGATGTATAAGTAGAACAAATAAAGAAATATCTTTTTAAAAAGACAGGGCTATTTCAATTTACAAACTTTGTATAACGGAGTGTAAAAAATTGGCCCATTCCTAGAGAGGGGTATCAGTTTTAGGGCGAATTCTAGAACGGGGTATAAAAAATTGGCCCATTTCTAGAACAGGGTATCAATTTTGGGGGAAATTTTTTCGAGCACGGGGTGCCAATTTGGAGTCCCGAGCGGCACATACCCACCCAAAAAATACCCAAGTGCCCCCCCCCCCCCGGGCTCTACCTATGACAGCCTACCTGAAGCGCATCCCTTTTATCTGCTCTTCTTGCAGGGATGAGACATATCAGGTAGAGGCCCAGGATCACACAGACAAAAATCAAGGCGTGTGGGCTATCCAGTAGCTGCTGCACGCTTAGCTTGTCAAAGTTGATCTTGTTTGGTGGAACGAAGAAGCTGCATCCGAATGTTGTAAGATGTGTTGTTAAGCACTCGGTAGACCTCAAATTAGTTTTAGGACCCACCTTGAGGAATTTTAAACAAAAATTAATAAATCGACATCACTAACGATTCTAATATCTTAAAATCGTAGGTGTGTTCTTTGTTCAACAAGCAGTGATGCTATATCTTAAAAACATTTACTCTAATTGTTTTGTGCGCAATATAAAATTTCAAGTCATCCACCTAGCGTGTGCACCCGGTTCAGCTGCCGGTTCAAACTTTGAATTTGTGGCGAACCTAAAATGCTACTATGCAAAATCTGTTGTTCTTGCTTACTAGCAGATTACCGGTATACTGATAAAATCGCATTTCAATGATTCGTTGCATTGGGTTTAGATTCATAGAGATCAGAGCCACATCAGCGGTAAAATTAGGAGGATTTTTCGGCCATTTTGTCTCCGCACCAAATTCGGTGACCCCCTTGCCAATTTTTACATTTCGGACATAGATAACACATTCCATCAAAATTTAAGGACAATTTCAATAAACTGAAAACTGAAAATCGGTGTTAGAAGGCTTTCGAGTTGACGTCTGTGAGAGTCGCAATGTGTCATTGCCCAGCATTCCAGGCAAACGTTCGCACAAAATATAGCAAAATGGTACTGTTAATGATTAGGTACCCAGACTGAGAAAAAGCAACATTTATGTTGTGAAAATGAATAATCAGCATGTCACGAGCGTGGGACAAAGAATATTAAACAGGTGATCATAGGTTCGAATCCTGTCGGGGACTCAGATTTTTTCTCTGTCCCACGCTCGTGACATGCTGATTATTCATTTTCACATTTGTCTCACCAAGCTTAAAATTTACCATCTCTCATTCTTTCACCAACATTTATGTTGTAGATGTGAGCTGATTTGTTACCTACTTAGAGCAGAGTTAGTGCTAGCTCATGTGTAACGATAAAAAGACTAGGGCCTGGTTCAAGCGCTGTATATCGCATGCATAACACCTAAATTTTGGTTGACCATAACTATTAAGTTCGCCGTTAGCTCAAATATTGTCGAACTAAATTCAGTCAATTTTTTTTAAAAGCACGCGACCGGTCGTTTTTCTCAGCTTCTTTACAAGGAAAATTAATTAAAATTAAGTTCGGTTCATTTGAAGGGCGTGTTTGACCCGGATGAGTGGTTTGTCACGATTTCTTCAGCCGTGAACAACGTCTCAGCCGACCAAAATATAATCAGCCGACCTTAAATAGGTTAAAAACTGCACTTCTCTAACCTACGAGTTATAAGGCTCCTTATTTGGTACGCTGCTACACAGCCGTTATTAGTGTCGTCACGCAACGCTCCTACGACACTAATAACGGCTGTGTAGCAGACTACTTATTTGGGGGAGTCGCGAGAAGTCGTGCAAGAGCTACAAGTCGAAAAGGAGGCGTAAGTGCGACGGGCTAGCTCTCACTCGCGCGTTCTCTCGCCTCGCTCGCCATTGTTGGAGAGCTGAGTCGTAGGCTACACTTTACATTGACTGAGTTCGGCTCCTGTGAGGTACATCTTTTGAGCCTGGCCTAGGGACTCAGGAGGTAAAAATATTGACCCCAAGGACTCAGAAAATTGAGAGTAATACCATGAAGCTCCAAATGTATATTGCGCTAATTCAAACTTAACGCAAGAATTACGAAATTCAACCTTACAACCGAAAGCCTACTTTGAACACACATTGGGACTCCATTCGCAAAAAAAGCTGTTTCAAACTCTGTCTAACGCGTATGAGTTACGCCATTGTTATATTTTACGCCTTAGCTGTGTAACCGCGAAAGACTATTTGGTTAGATACACTGTCCAACCTTGCGAAAACATATGAGTTACGCTATTTTTATTGCCTCCCTGCATATTAAGACAATTTTTTTTCTTTATTTTTCCACTTAAAAATGATGTTATAACCACATCAAAACGTTGTGTAAAACGTTTTTCCCTAATTATTTTTTTATTCTCAAGTCTGTAATCAAATGTCTGTAATTCTCAAGTCTGTAATCAATAGGAATACTTGATATTCCTCCTCAACCTTACCTTAAGCCCGTCTGTTGACCATATGTTCTTTTTTTCGTCATAGAACATACACTTGGACGTATACATGGAAAAATTGTAGGGCACAGTGCCGTCAGATCCAATCTTATCCAGCTCTTCCAGTGGTAGAGAGTCATTTTTCGTATATCCCAGCATCACAAAATACTGACCGGCGGCAGTCCAGTTTAAATCATCATTGGATAAAAAAAGCTTACAAAGAGAGAAGTTTGTTGAGTCATCACTGTAGCGCCCTCCCAAACGAAATGTTGCGTTGAAGTCGTAAACGCTTTCTTCTGGCCTCGGTCTGCTTCCCTTTTTAATGTAAATCTGCACTACAACACTGATGTTCCAAGCTACTTGAACAGTCACAGCAGATGCATTTTCTGTTATGTTAAATTCATGTATACTGTACTTAGCAGAGTGAAGTTTTCCCTCTTGCTCCGGAGGATTTTTAGAGGTATTATTTCTTGGTAAACTAACACTGATTGCCTCCTCCAGACCTTCCACTGTGCACTCTTTACCACCAACGTCAACACTTCCGTCATCCTTTGACCCGGTAAACGACAAGCTTACAACTTTGTCTGTTACTTGACCTGCTCCCTTGCCACCTGAGAATAGATTTTGGTCGGATACTAGGCTCTGAAAAAAAGAAAAGGTTGACCCAATAAATTTTCCTGTTGCTTTTACTTGTAAAAGCGTCCGAGTTCCTAGAACAGATGCTAACTAGTTTTTATTGACCATTGTTTGTCTTCTCTTCTCTTGTCTTCTTTTTTATTGGTAGCTCCACCATCGTACCTTTATTCCTGGTTTGCAGCAAATAGAGGTCTGTTTTCAGGTTTCCCCTGGCATGGAAATTGTTTACGTTCAACTCGACTTCTCAAACGCAAAAGCCTCGCCAGGGGTCAAATCCCAGGGGTACGCGAGCGCACGCGAGGCGTGGTCAGCGGAGCCCCATAGCTTATAGAAAATAGAGACCTATCGACGCCAGAAAATTTGCTTATGACGTCAGCGTTCACCGTTCGTTTTCCCGTACAGAACCTGGAGGTAGAGGTAAAAAAATCTCATTAGGGTAGGGAAGGGAGTCCCAGACATATACTTTGCGTTTCGTTTTGGCGCAAAATTAACCATTTTCGGGGTAACCAACGGAGTTGCTCGAGTAAAAATCTAGATTGAAGTTTCTAATTCTTGTGGTCGGCTCACGATAAAACGTTTGGAAATATATTTCTAAAAAGCTTTACTTTTTGCTTGATCACGCTGTTGGTCACACTCCAGGAACAACCTAATCTCCCCCCTCTCCGCTTAGTCAAAATTTTGGCATGTGAGTTCTTGAGTGAAAACTTATGTATCTAGAAAATTGTTGGCCGACAGACTACTTGCCGACAACTGAAGTCTTTTTTCATTTCAGTTAAGTTTTTAAATTATCGTGTTCCTGTATTTCCGCCACGAAATGAAATACTTGCTGTCTACAAGGCTCTTTTTCTAGAGGAAAGTGTCGCACAGGGAGTCATCGATGGCTGCGTTTGTCTGTTAGTTCAGGCTCTTACGGCGAACTACAGGAAAAATCTTTTAATATTTCAAATTTTTAACTATTCGTGTTTTTCCACTGCCGCTAAAAATGAAATATAGCTGCTATCAAGACTCTTCTGTTATTCTAAGCTGATTTCTTTATTTGGTTTTTGAGTTGAGGAAAACTTGGCCATGGGGTTTAACGAAAGTGAAAGTTGAAGCATGCAGACTTTTGCTGGAGAGTTAACTGTTTCTGGCCTCACTTACATAAACGATTTGTCGATTACCCTACCAACAGAAACCGTAACTTTGCCAAAAATAACTTCGCCGTTTTGGAAAATGTTATGTATTGTTGTTAAGTTTATAATTTGTAGTTTAAATATAGCGTATATTTAGTCGTATGAATAAACAACACACAAAGGGCAGTTTGGGTAGACTACAAAATAATGGTTATTCATAGGAGGAAATGTTAAATGTTATCCACCTTCCTCGGTCTTTTCGTCAGAAGAAACAGGAAGTATAATTTACAGTAAAGGTTACTTAGTATCAGATATTGTGATGTCTAATCTGAAAGGTAGTTTACAAATAACGGTTATGTTTTTTAAACGGTTTTTATCCTGTATTTATTCCGATTTATAACTAAAAGGTACTTAAAAACTGCTTTAAAAATCTTGTAAGCTTTGAAAAAGCCCCGGAATTTTCTATATATTTTACTGAAAAGAATTTTAGAACCCTTTTAAAACTATTTTTCAATAGCATTTTAAACACCTTAAAGACCTTAAAAAGTCCGTCGAAAAATACATTAAAAATACACTTTTCGACCTATTTAAAACCTATTTCCCAAAACAGGTTGAAAACAGTTTTCAAAAATAGTTTGTAAGTACATTCAAAACAGTGTTGGATTGGTATGGGTTTGTTGATCCGATTTTGCAAGGGAAACATAATCTAAACACAAAATCGGCTTAATTTATCATTCGGGTAGAATCCCTTTTAGACACAGTCTCGAGAATGACAACGAGCCTTTATAAAACATTAAATTCCATGGGCCTTTCGCTTCTCAAAGAGGAGAGGTGGGGGGTGGGATTCTTTGTTTTTAATCAGTTTTGAATAAGTTTCTGGATTTCTTTGCATAGGTTGAAGTTTATTCGTTTTTTGGTTTTCAGTAATTAAAAGTATGTATATTAGTGGATGTTTTACGTTTAGCCTTGACTAAATCAATATATTACTTGGAGCCGCAGGCTTTGCAATTGATCCTTCTAATAGAGTGCCTGCTTTAAATTCTACAAGCTACATTGGAGGACACGGATTTATGTAAAATTCTGAACTAGGCGTTAAAACATTAAGAAACCTCCAGAAGAAAAACAATATCCCTGTTTTGAAAGAGAATAAAAACGCCTGGTTTCAACAATTCAGCATTACTCACTTGATCTCAAATGACGTGTATTTTTTTCGTATTTGATCGTAATAAAGTGTACCAAGTTTCAATTGTCCGTTACCTTTGAATAAAGCCAGGGATTAAGAACCTTCGCCGCGCACAGTCCTAAGTCCCCCAAAAGGGGAGAAACTTTAGACGCAAAGACTTCTGGGATTGCTTGGGTTAACAAGCGTTACATATGATTGGTTAATGGTCACATTGAACACCATCGACCAATAACAGCTCCGTCCACCCAATCGATCCCAAAAATACTGCACTCAAGGCTTGTACTCATTCTCCTTAGAGGTTCTGAATTAGGCAATCGACCATAGTGTCCCCCCTTTCTTCTGGGTGTCAGCTAAAGCTAGTCTCGAGGACATGACAGGGTAAGAGATAGTCCTCATTGAAGATAAATTTTACGAAACAATGGAAAGAAGTGAATTGGTAAACATACCATTCGATTAACACTTGATTTATTGACGCAGGCTTTAAAATTTGCCGGCAAAATGACCTCACTGCCATCCAAATTGATGGTTTTATTGCTCATGTCATCTGCTTTGTACCTCTCAACTGCCAGAGCGAAAGATTCCTTCTTAATTGTTGTTTGTTTTTCTCCATCGATCTTAGTGGTCAGTATAGCTGCTCCAATTTTTTTCACTGTACCGACAGCTTCTTGTGTATTATTGCTATCTGAAGAATCCTACAAACAAAATTTTGTGATCAGCTTGTGAGACTTTTTTCATCCTCTGGGTCAGACCATTTACATGTAACTTTTGAGGACGATGATAATTTTTGATCATAGCAGAGCTCTTTTGTTGCGCGCGCGCAGCAGAGCACCATGCAAAAGAAAATTTGGTTACCTATGCATCCAAATAGTTTTGGTTCTGACGAAACCGCCCATAACTACGGCCGTACGTCCACCCCTTCATGTTAATGGATGTGAAATAGCACACTTACTAGCTCGGGGTCCAAGGCCTATACTAGCTCTGTTTAACTTGGTATTGAACATCCATGTTATGGGCAATTGACAGCTGTCAAAAAAGGGTATCCGCTGACGAATGTCACATGATTGTATCTCAAGTAGACAACTCATTGAGGTGATGATTTTAAAAGTTATCGGCTGAACACTTTGATCATGATCAGTCTGCTTTCTGCTTACGGCAAAAGTTTAATTGCTCGAGCAAGACATTACTTAAAAGCGGTCACGGTAGCAGTAGCAGTAGCGGTAGCGGTAGTGGTAGTGGTAGTGGCTGTAGAAGTAGTGCTGGTGGTGGTGGTGGTAATGGTAGTGGTGGGTAAGTAATAGCAATAAATTGCTTTATTTCCATGACCGTGACATTTTACAGGGAGGGTGGGGGGTGGATGCCACGCCCAATAAGGTTTTCCTGAGTTTTTTCCTAGTGGAGAAAACATCAGCACCTGACGTTTTCAATAGCTGTTCGTTCATCCCTCACGCAGATTTTGATGGTGATTAGTGATGGTCAGTTGCTATGGTTACGGGATATGACATCATAAGTAGAAGGTGGTCAAGCCAATTTTGGGTGAAAATATGTCTTTTCAACTTTTTTGAACAATAAAAGTAAATCTTGTAGCTAAAATCATGCAAATGCTTATTTATGTGTTATTTTTCATGTAAAGCATAAAAAATTACCCTTGCTCGCGGTTTTATCCTGATTTCTAATTCTTAGTAAAATCTAAGATGGCAGCCAAGATGGCGACCATTGTTGGTGACGTCACAGGCCTCCAGCAGCGCCACCACCCATCAAATATACCTCATCTTGTTAAGAAGATCAAAGGTTTTCCACTGGAGGTAAAATCGTTTCAAAATACTGCAACATATCAAAAACTCCCGGGAGGGGTTCCATCCACCCCCCCTCCCTGTACCACGGTAGGGGTATGAATTTGTTTGTACGTCCGAGGGTTAACTTAAATTACTTTTCCTTGACAATAACAAAGTATCACGTATAATCATACAGGAGGAAACGAATAGTGGAATGAATAGTGAATAGTGGTATATGAATGAATAATAACATGAATAGTGGTAGTGGTAGTTGTAGTGGTGGTGGTGGTGGTGGTGGTGGTGGTGGTGGTGGTAGTAGTAGTAGTAGTAGTAGTGGTAGTAGTAGTAGTAGTAGTAGTAGTAGTAGTAGTAGTAGTAGTAGTAGTAGTAGTAGTAGTAGTAGTAGTAGTAGTAGTAGTAGTAGTAGTAGTAGTAGTAGTGGTAGTAGTAGTAGTAGTAGTAGTAGTAGTAGTAGTAGTAGTAGTAGTAGTAGTAGTAGTAGTAGTAGTAGTAGTAGTAGTAGTAGTAGTAGTAGTAGTAGTAGTAGTAGTAGTAGTAGTAGTAGTAGTAGTAGTAGTAGTAGATCGTACCTGTTTTGATTTTGATGAGTCGGTCTTAATGACGTTCACTGCTGTACCGAACAATTCCTCTGAAGCTTCCTCAATGTCCTTACTCGAGGCCTCCTTGGTTTGGTTAAGAATTAAGTCTGCCGCGCTCTTGATAAAAGAGGTAACTTTGTTCTGTTTAAAAGAGAAGCATGAAATATAAGTATACACTGGAAAAGGTTCACAGAAAATCTCAACAGGTTGATAATATACACAGTCCTATTCACAAGTACAAGTAAAAGGTAGTAGAAGGCCGAACAGCAACAAAGTCAAAACCGCTTCCCATAGTCTTCTTTCCCTACTGATGGGTCTGCGAAAAATACTTTAAACGAGGCTACAACAAAACACTTAATATAGCTGCCACGAATGTTCTCAACGATCTCAACACCCTCCCCCCATTTAAGTTTTCATCAACTTAAATGGCAGTCACCGTCTTCAGCTTCTTGGGCAGTAATGTCTCGGACTCGCTTACTTGCAATCTCTTTATTTACAATCTCTCATCCTCCTGGTTGATCACACTGTTGGTAAAAACACTTCCGCTTCGGGGTTTAAGCTTGTAATTAGGATTCTCTCCTTCAATTGCCAAGTTACGCACAAGTTGAAAAGGAGGTTCAACAACATAAAAAAAAATCAATTTCCGCTTCTCAGCTTCAATCCGCGAAGTTCTCCATCCTTGCCAATAATCTTGTCCACGACTCGTCCAAGCTTACACGATGCTTTATCCTTTGCTTCACTTTTCAACATCACTGATCCTTTGTCTGGAATTTTTGCACTGTATGCAGCGGCATCACACTTTCTTTCTCCAAGGGCATACACATACTCTTTTAAAAACCTCTTTTGAAGCTGCTCATTGCTTTTCTGTAAGAATCTCCTTCGCTTTGTTTACTTTCTCTTCACCAATTGCCTGAAAATCTTCCTCTACGATTTGGGTTGGTTTTCCCCTCAGGAAGGTGTTTGGGGTAAGCACTGGTTGCTCAAACTATTCCCGTTGATTAAGAAGTGGGCGGTTGTTCATGCACTTCTCTACGTCCAGCAAGACATCTTAAAACTCTGGATAGGTCAGGGGGTTTCGGCCAACCGTTTTTGAAAGAGCTCTCTTAATGTCGACTATTAATCTGTTTGGGAAGGACAGCGATAATTTCCAAGCGTGGATTGATAGATTTCTTGGAGCTATTCTTGACTCTGCAACAAGGAGATTGTTGCAAACTAGTGCACTCGCATGAAATGCTACAATGTAGATAGCTGCCGAAACTGCTGGCTTTCTGGCATCGGCAAAGCGCGCGGCGAAGGACAGTTCTTGTTACACCTCTGTCTACGACGCTGCGTGGATACTCTTTCATCCCACTTGAGTTTGTGTAATGAGGTTTCGCTGCATAGGATCTTTCCTGTGATTAGTGCCGGAGATGTAAGACCCAGCGGGTTATATACACCGTTGACAGCCGATAGCAATTTCCTCTTCGTTAAAGGACCCTCGGCAACCGATTCTAACAGCTTCATGAAGCCAATAGAAAGTTCATCTTCTGTGTTGTTCCAAGGATCTCCCAGTATTTTTGTCTCCTTAGGACTAGTTCCCATCTCTAACTTTACTCGTACTTGCTTCAGGGGTACATCTTCTTTTAGTCTCTAATGCCCCTCTAACTCTAGTAGGTTACTGTGCCATTTGTGAAGGTGAAAGACACCTTCTTCCATAATCCTTGTGGCCTCCTCTTTGAACGTAACCAGCTCATCTCTGTGATCTCCACCTGACTGACTCATGTGTTTCTTTAAGTGTCATCCAGAGAATGTAAGGACTAGTTCCTTACCCAAAAATCACTCTTGTGAAACGATGCTATCTAACTACCCTTGAATCAAGGTTTTGGTACCATAAGAGGCGATGAACATCCCTGTCCTTTGGATCGACGTTAATCTGGAGGAAGGCCTTTTGAAGGTCTCCGGTGATACATAGCAACTTCAGGCGATTTTGGAGAAGAATGTCAAAGATAAGCTGTAAAGGGGGTCCCACTTCCAGGCAGTCATTCAAAGAAGGTACTTGAGAACTGGTATTAACTGATCAATCATACACTTTCGTCATCTTTGCAGACTCTGTCTAATCTCTGATTACTGGCTGATGGGGAATGTTAAGTTCCTTGCGTAGGTTTCCTACTAGCTCCTCTCATCTAATCCCCAAACTTCCCAGTCATCATCTTTTTGTGATAGGGTTTCTCACTGGACCGAGCTTGTCCATAATGCTGTAAACATGACTTTGAGTAATTTGAAATTTTTTCATTGTGTTAATAAGGTTCTCAGACCTTCTTACAGTTCTAGACAACTGGTTGTAAAACTCATCAATCTCTTTTGTTTTGTTTTTTTTTTTGATGCTCGATATGTTAGGCAGTTTTTCCAAATCCTTCTTTAATGCCTTGAGAACCTCAGTGTCCTTTCCTTAAGTAATTTCTAAGATCTTTCTTTGCTCCCTTGCAGTCTTCAGCAGTGTGCGGCAAGCCAAGAATATGACTTTCTGGTTCGCCTCCCATTAGTTCAAGCAAGTAATTGAATTTACGTATCTCAGAAAGTTTAGAGTTCAGTACTAACTTCCACAACAAACGGATTCCAGAATCTGAGCTAGTCTTTTTAATCCGTTCTTAATGGTGTGATTAATTAATTTCTGTTAATTTGTCGTAAAAATAATTATTAATTTATTGATATTATATTTGTATTTATAGATTTGTTGCCCAATATTATATGTAAGTTTACAATACTATGATAGTACGTAAAAGATATTTAACAATTATTCGTCGAGCCCGAATGGCCTCTGAGTCAATGGCCCATTCGGCCGACAATACTTTCATAGTACGTAAAAGATATTTAACAATTATTCCTCGAGCACGAATGGCCTCTGAATCAATAGCCCATGAGGCCGAAGGCCAAATGGGCTATTGACTCAGAGGCCATGAGGGCGAGAGGAATAATTGTTTTAGTAAAATCCAACTAGTTGGTCAAAAATATCGAGACAAAACAACTTTAGCTAGCAAAACGCGATTCAGCCGCCATTGTTTTGGTTTTCAAAGCCAGCTCTTTTCGCTACTAGTGCGCTACAACATATTGCCTAGTAGTAGCTCAACCAATCAGAACGCAGCATTAATAATAGACCACTAGTTCGATCTTACTAAAATTACAATATTGAACAGGAGGTGTCAGAAGCCTGTCTGAGCTTATCGACGAGACTCCCTGTCAATTGACACCAATGCCTAGCCTTTACCCAGAGCCCCGTCGTGTTAAATGAACTGACAATTGACAGGAGAAAACTTAACATTTTCACACTGATTGTTAAAAGCTCATTTTCCCAATACTGTACAGTCGGTCGTTAAGTACAGAGTTGTACATGCAAAGATACACAACTTACAAATCGCAAAGTTTTGCAACCACTCGTCACTTTATTCCTAGAAGGTTCTTAATAGAGCTAAGCCGTTAACATGTGAATACAGGAAGAAACCGGCGACTAGGAACGTGTATTTTCCCAAGTTAGCCTAAACAGGTTCTTACATAAATGTTAATAAGCACCAATTTAGGCAATAGTTAGGTTCTTAAATAGGTTCTTGTTTTCTGAACAAAAAATACATTGTAATTAACCAAGAGCCTTTAGTCGTATTCGGCTTATTCCTTTTATAAAATCTGCATACTATCATATTGCGGTTGGACTGTGATAGGCACCCGCCCATGTCGCCAAAACGGATCCTAAAAAGAATACAGGATTTTTTGAAGATTGTAGAAATTAAGAACCTCTTTCAAATTTATAGCTAAACAGGTTTTGTAAAGAGGGTGCCTAACTGGCAAATTTTAGCCTAACAGATTCTTAAAAACCGGCTCTTGGTCGCGGGATTTTACTGCTAGCATGGAATCATGTAACGTATCCGTCTAATTTTATACTTCACTTACGATCACAGTGTTAGAATTCTGTTCGGCTACGGAAGTAGCTTTGCTGAGAGTCCCAGACAGCTGAGTTAAATCACCCAACTTCATATCCTCTTTGACTTCAGTATTGTCAAGTGCAACAGAAACAAGCTTGTCAACGAACTGAAAAAGGCAAAAATAAATAAATAATTATTACATCTCCAAAGGCCACTCAAGGACGGGTTTTCCGAAAACCTACCGTAAACACTCCGATATATTTGTTATTCTAGATTGAAAACAGTTGTTTTTCTAAGCTTATTATACCAACCAATGTCCATGAAATCAAAAATTGGCTAGTTCGATATATATCCGACTGGAAACGAAGGGTTCACCTTAAGATGCAAAAGTTTAAACTGACCAGTAGCAAACTGGTACGCTTTGACAGACCAAAAATATTAGTAATAATCGGACATTAAAAAAGTAAGAATTACCTCTTTGCTTGCCTTGGGATCTTCTTTACTTTCCTTTTGTTGTACAAAAGCTTGGGTAACACTTGATAAGAAAGACAGTTTCTGGTTAAGGTTGCCACTAGCAGTTATTTCGTCCAGACTTGAGTCTAGTATTTTTGTAAGCTGCTCAGCATTCAATTCCTTTTTATTAACCTGTCAAAGAAAGATTAAAGCACTTTTTCGGTAACTGTCTTGGGTAATAGCCCACGTTCGATATATTAAAATTTTACCATGACTCCGGCACTTTCTGGTCATATTTCTATATCTGATTTTGGTTTTCTTTGCGCTCAAGTCTCTTCGAGGAATTGCGAGACAATGGAGTCGTGGAAAATTTGCAATTTTGTCCCTTGATATATCGAACGTGGGCGTTAATTAATTTGAAGTATCGATGGAATTTTTCCCGCGGTCATACTCAAATAGTTGCTTCCCCGTTGGCAACAGCCATAATGTAAAATATGTGCTATGAAAAGCAATGAAAGCCATTCACGTGATATTTAGCGTCACTGCAAGAACTTGATAAAAGCAAATTTCAACCTGCAGATGATAGCTTTGACTGGATGGAAACTAGTCGGGGAATTGAAATGGAAAATAAATATAAATAACGGAAAGCATTGACGATAGAATTAAGGCCTCGTCCACGCATACTCTGTACGATGTTGTTTCCAAAGAGAAATTTTTCGTCCCGTTTAGTATAACTTACACACGTACACGGTGAAATAAAACAGTCACAAAAACGCATTTTTTTTTCAGAAACGCTCTCTAGAATGGAGATTTTTTAAAACGCTGATGGTGAGGACTGCCTCGGACGAAATCGGAGCTTTTCGAACATTATCGGCTGACCACTGACTGATCATACTCGGACTAGCATTGAGGTCGCGGGGGACACCTTGGGCTCATTTTTATGCATTTATTTATAGCGTATGTATGAAGTACAACGACTGATATCGACAGGTTTACGAGATATTCATAACTGGGTAAAAGATGAGCACATAATTCAAAGCGTTTACGAGCACGTGTGGCACGCAGACTGCGAACAAAATGTTTATTCAAAAGTAACAAAAGGGCTCTGAATGAAACCTTGTTTCAGTGATTTTAAAAATGTGGAAATAAAGATAAGGAAATCTTTCGTCCCCAAAATCCTTGAAAACATTGCAGCTCATTACATAATTAAATATTTTGCTTGATACTCGTGCTTTAGTCGAGTAAGTCTCAAAATTTGACTTTTCCGACAATTTTGTGTCCAAAACTTCAGCGGAGATACAAAACTTCACGAGCTGACACTACAGAGGTGTAAACTTTGTAGACTGTCCTGTGTTATGTATTGAATTCTAAAAGAGCGCTTTCATAAAAAGATATAAGGCGTTATTTTCAGGGATGACAGATTTTGCTTAGTACTATATCCTCACTGTCTACCACTTAACACATCGCGAAACTAAGTTATGGGAGAGAGATCCGCGGATTGTTGTGGAAAGAGGTAGACAGCAAGAATAGATCACGATATGTGAGGAGTTGTCAACCAACACCAGGGGAGGAGGGTGGGGCGAACCTTGATAAGTCGTCTCGGCGGTCGGCGCTGTGACACAGTGAAATCAAAGCCACGTGGTGTATCCTATTTATCAGGGGAGCCCGCAGTGCATTGATGCGTCCCAAAGGACGGCGGAGTATTTTACCGGTCGTTTGGCGATGCGTTAATTAATTATTCAGTGAGAATAGTACTATATCCTCACTGTCTACCACTTAACACATCGCGAAACTAAGTTATGGGAGAGAGATCCGCTCCTTGCCATTCCCTGAGGCAGCCTGCCATAACCTAGGTCTCCGACCCTCCCCCCAAAACACATCGACCTTATAATTTCAATACCCAACACTCAACACCCAATACTCCATAACTCAATAAAGATTTATTAACTGACAACAAACTAATAACCACCGGAGAGTACTGGGATGAAGGTCCCTTAGTCATGAAAGATGTATTAATTCAACTATACGAAATTCTCTGCAAATTTCCTTGGTGGGAAAGTTGCAGGGCGGGCGGAGAGCTCGTAGAAGTAAGATTGAGCGTAACCCGTTCTAACAACTGCAACGAAGCAGAAGCACTGGAGCGGCGCGTGTAATACAAAGCCATTTCTGTGCTCCGCCAACCCACGTACTGAGCAATCTGCTCCGGAGTACATCCCAAACCCTTGAGGGTGTATGAAATTCCTACACGAAAGCTGTGGGGGTCTCTCCGTCATTAATGTTGGCAGCCTTAAGATACTTTTGGAGCCGTGCAGATACGGCTGACCCTCCGAACGGACGATGTGACACAAACTTTTTATGCTCCGAAGACCTAAAGAGGTACTCACCATGAAGAGGGACACCTAATGCCCCACACGCGGCAATATAATAGTTCAACCAAAAAACCGGGCAGACAGGTACATTTGGAATACGTAACAGAGCAAAAGGGCGAAACTGACCTGCACGCCTTGTTTTACTAAACGTAAAGTTGAGAAGGAACCCCTCCCTATCCTTAAGGCGAAAAAAGCTGATCTGCCTTCAAACGGCCCAAATCGGATGCTCTATCACCAGTGTAAAAGTCAATAACAAAGAATGTTATATCCCTGACCAGGAGGTATCTATTGAGAGGAGAAAGCGCAGAGCCTTCGGCAATAAGCCCGCGAAGATAGGCAATTAAACGGGTGAATTTGTCATAGAACAAAGGGACAGCCTGACGAGGGGGCAAAGGTTGCTGGGCTTGCTCCTCTCTTACAAACTTAAGATATTCCTTAACACAAGGATGTGCCAACGGGTTAGAAAACCCTGTACGGCCTAACCTATTGAAAATCGCTCTAAGTTTCCCTATATATGAATCGACAGTTCCGGCCGCTAGACGCTTAGGGCAACTACAGGTCTTACTAGAGCAAGAGCGCACATGGAGTTTCTGTTTTCCCGCAGCATCCTTGCTAATCAAAAACTTTACGATGTCTTCCGCGGTTGCAGCAGAAACTTTCTTCGGGGGAACAAGAGAGCACAAGAAACTCGACAGCTGAACTTCTAAAGAGTCCTTTTGCCGTTCATAAGGTTTGTTCCTATACGATTCTTGGAACTCTGTAAAGCGCTTGTTGATCAAAGGCATGTCCGCATGTGGACGGGTCCCTTGCGGTGGCTCACGCGACAGGGGTGTACCGCAGGCCTGGCAAAAGTTCGCGTCACTGTCGTTTGGATAAGAGCAGGCGGGACATCGGCAGGCAGGCTTCCATGGGCGTTCGATCTATAGAGACAAGCATAAATACCTAGCTTACCAGGAGCAGACACAACGAAAAACCCACAGATCCCAAGGCAAGGGCCTTGCAATGAAATCGGGGGAGGTGCGGGAAGGGAAAAGCAACATGGCCGGGTCACCTTTCCGCCCAAGAAGAAAAGAATCTACTGCCATTGCTTGGAGTATTGCCCACCAATAGCGATGCGGGCGGAAACGAGGGACAACGATGGTAAAAGCGAAACGCTGGCGCTGATCAAAAAAGTACCGCAGCAACGGTCCCACGAGAACGAAAGGGGGAAAGACATAGACGTTATGTTCCATTGGTATCGGTTGTGCGAAAACATTAACGCCCAGAGAACACGGAGTCGGCCAAGGCGAGTAATGAGGCAAAAAGCTCCCATCCCTTCCTCTGCGACAGTTGCTGTCCAAAGACATCAAGTCAAATGTGTGTGGTCCAAACCGCGCTTGAACTCGGGCCCACGCCTCCTCGGACAAAGAACAATCAATGTCAGTCAGAGCACGGGAGGGCGCGTCAGCAATGTTTTCACTCGATGGGACATATTTCAAATGCAAAACAAAGTTTCCTGCTCGAGACATTTCTTCTATTTTTTTCAACTCCTGATTCACCAGAGAACTCCTACAACCGCCATTTTCCCAGGCTGCTCGGAGAGTCGCGTTGTCCGTCCACACATCGATTCTTGCGTTTCTGATAGAAGGGAAAAAAGAGCTCAAAGCGTTACACAAAGCCCTGGCCTCAAGGGTATTGATATCACCTTCAAGGTCGATCCAATAATCTCGTATTTGCTGGCGTAGGCCATCTTTAACCAAGACTGCTCCCCAGGCCCTCTGGGAGGCGTCACTGAACATTGTGACAGAGAGATGATGTTCCGACCGCCAAGGTAAGTGACCAGACCAATTGTCCAAGAAAATCCATTCCTGAAGTTCCTGTCGCAAAGGTCCCAGGATTGGAACAGAGAGCTTGAATTCTTGGCAACAGCGCTGATAGCCTTGAATACCTCCCGCACATACAGCTTACAAGCCGGGATTGCGAGACTAAACGATAGCGCCTTTCCCGCGAAACGCTGCAAGCTCTTTACGGGCGCAAAAGATGATTCAGGAGTTCGTCACGCAACGCTTTAAATTTCTCCTTTTTATCCAGTGGGACTAAAAAAGCTTGCAAGACAGAATCGGAGATGAAACCCAGGAATTTAACAAAAGTGGATGGCTGTGGAGAGCTCTTTGCAAGGTTAACAAAATACCCCGCTGAGATCAAAAGGAATAACAAAATAAAGGCTGCTGCTCGTGCGAGTTGGCGACTAGGCTGGCAAACCAGTGGACCGGATAGGAATAACTGGCCCACATGCCTGTCATCAATATACTGCGAAACAGGTACGCCCAAAGACCGCGCGGCACTGGTGACGACAAGGCCAACGTTATGATATAAAAAGGCACTTGCTTTCCACCCGAAAGGTAAGGTGCAGAAAGAAAAATAATAGCCCCTCCAGGAAAAACTGAAGAATTCCTGGGAGTCCGGGTGAATCTTGAGGTGTTGGTATCCATTCTTATCATCAAATGTTGTCTGGAAATGCCCTGGGAGGACATAACGAGGCAGGTCTGGGAGGTGGTCTAACTTGAAAGGGAGATCTTGAATCCATAAATTAAGAAAGCGCTCGTCGTGGCATAAACGCGGCTTAGATGGTTCGACTGTCAAGGGGAGGACTAAATGAGGAGGAGAGCATTCGCCAATCTTGCCATAGACTTTGATAACACCCTGAGAGACCCAGGCTAAGACTGTAGTGTCAATGAAATCGGTAAATTGATGGCAACAAGGAGAGTTCGGGAAAATAGAAATCGGCGGTACAGCGGAATCATAACTTTTCCTTTGAAGTTGCCCTTGAAATGACGGAAGAAACTATCGACCCTCACTCCCTCTCGGATTATCTGTAGCAAATCAACTTGAGGACAAGTGTAACCGGCTGAAGAAAAGAGATCCTCCCAGAAGTCAACATGATTATGTAAGCTGCCCGCTTGGAAATAATCTGGGTGTCTAAAAACGCAATTGGGCCAGGTCTGCAAGGGATGGATCTTTACTAACAAGCTCCGCCGGTACGGTGGGGCCAACGAAGGATAAGGGTTCCCCGTTTATGTCACACCATTTGACGTCACGGCTCGGGAGCGCAAGGATTGCCCGTAGTGCAACCGCGAAATCCTGGGAAAACGGAGAACGAAAATACAAAAATAAGAAGAGGAAGAAAAGAAGGTGGGATCCCTATCCTTCGCCGACCCCAGCTCTGATCATAGACCAGAATAAAGGCGCTGAGAAGGCCCCCAGGGTCAACGAAGAAATGAGGCGAAAACTAGGACGCTAATAACTAGGGGAAAAAATCTTTATTCCAGCCAATAAACAAGGATAATATAGGAAAAAACATATCCCATACCCTTACAATATTTACATGATGCTAACGCCTAGAATTTCTGCGGCCGCGTCCGCGGCCACAATCTCTGGCGAAATGCCCTGGTAGACCACATCTGTAACAATTAACCGAACTGTAGACATAAGGGCGTTGGCTCCTAAACTGGCGAGTACTATTACGACCTTGAAACCCAGGCTCTTCACGCTGGATAGTCTTGAGAAGCGCAGAGGACTCCTTTGCAACCTTGGCTCTAACCGGATCGCCTAAGAGGCCCATGAGCAGCCGTTTATGGGCAGAGGGGGAGAGGGCATTAGATCTTCCTTTTAATTCATCCAAAATGGCCGCGTAATAGTCTGCCTTTTCGTAGGCGGACGACCTGGCTGCCCGTACCAGGGCCTCGACGTGAGCAGAAGCCTCCCAAGGGTCATAAACAGCTTCCGGCTTCTGAAGAGCGTTGCGAACAGAGGTAAGAGCAGTGGTGACCACGTCAACGCCCTGCTTCTCCTCCAAAGCTTTCAATTTGTCTTCAAGAAGCTTAATTCGATCGTCCGCCTAAGAGTGACGCAAAATATGAAGTATATATTAACGTCTGTAAAACATTTATATGTTATTAATTTCGGTCCCAAGGCAGAACCGAAAGATCCCGAAACGAGGATATGCTAGATCCAAAATGGACGGTTAGGCCGTATAACAATAATCATTGGCAAATAAAACCGGCTGCCAGAGCGAAACGGTCCCGGACCGCATATATGACCAATACAGGCGCCCGGAGCCGAGCGGACCTAGCCCGCAAACACAATAAACATGTCACCCCAAACAAAACGGCTCCCGGAGCCGGGCGGTCCCGGACCGCATACACAATAATATCTCACTCCAAACAAAAGAAAAAGAACCGGCTCCCTGAGCCGACCAACAAAAATTCTTTCTAAATAAAGAACAGGTTCCCAGAGCCAAACGTTCCCGGACCGCATACACTAAATACGTGGTTTTAAACAAAACCCGGCTCCCGGAGCCGAACGGTCCCGGACCGTATATAAAACAATTCGTTCCGAAACGAAAGCCGGCTCCAGAGCCGAGCGGTCCCGGACCGCATACACTAAATACTTGGTTTTAAACAAAACCCGGCTCCCGGAGCTACACGGTTCCGGACCGCATACACCAAATACTTGGTTTAAACAAAAACTCGGCTCCCGGAGCCGAACGGTCCCGGACCGTATATAAAGCAATTCGTTCCGAAACGAAAGCCGGCTCCAGAGCCGAGCGGTCCCGGACCGCATACACTAAATACTTGGTTTTGAACAAAACCCGGCTCCCGGAGCTAAACGGTCCCGGACCGCATACACCAAATACTTGGTTTAAACAAAAACCCGGCTCCCGGAGCCGAACGGTCCCGGACCGTATATAAAGCAATTCGTTCCGAAACGAAAGCCGGCCCCAGAGCCGAGCGGTCCCGGACAGCAAACGCAATAACTCGTGTCTTGGACAAAACCGAACATACAAAACAAAAATATTTCGTCCCAAACAAAAAATCGGCTCCCGGAGCCAAATGAGACACAAACAAGCCGAAACAAAAGGACCGAGTAAAATGAAATACATATACGAACAACGCTAACAAAAGCGAAGAGAAAAACAAAAATATGCCCTAGAGACACGTGGAACGTTAAATATGCTAAACAAAGTACTAGAAACGTTGGAGAAAAACACGAAATGCGCACAAACGGGCAGCTAAAGCTAAAAGCGAACGAAAAGCACCAGAACTAGAAATTACCTGATTAGCAGCCGCGGGTTGCGCCGCCGGTTCTGCGAGAACTTCTGCGAGAGGTCCTGCAGGAGGTTCTGCCGCCACCGGAGGTAAAGGCGGTAATTCTCCCGCTGGTTCCGCCATGTAGTCGAAGAAAAGACGGTTTGATGCTAGCGGAAAGTACAAGGAAACGAAGGCGGGCTGGTGTTGGTTGACAAACCGATACAAGCGAACCTCGATAAGTCGTCTCGGCGGTCGGCGCTGTGACACAGTGAAATCAAAGCCACGTGGTGTATCCTATTTATCAGGGGAGCCCGCAGTGCATTGATGCGTCCCAAAGGACGGCGGAGTATTTTACCGGTCGTTTGGCGATGCGTTAATTAATTATTCAGTGAGAATATTTAAACTATTATACTTGCTGGTAAACTTTAAATTGCAAAACCTGCTTAATACAAAACACACTAATGATTTTAACTGACAATTTATTAATAAAATCACTAATAGAGTGCTGTCTTCTTTTTTTCCCGCCAACTTAGACACAAAATCACGATTTCCCAATTTGATACAACTGTACATGTGACTTCAAGCATCGCTGTAAGGCGCGATCTACCAAATGAAAAAGAAACCTCTTAACGTCCATCATTCCACAATGTGTTCCGACAAATTTTAGCTAAATCACTTCTAACATAACCGAGATATAAGCGTTTTAAAAAATGTAGCCCAAGAACTGAAATTTTGCCTTGTGAATTTTTTCACGGATAGGTGTCCCCCGTGACCTATGTGCCCGGATGCTAATGTTTCTGCCAACGTTGTTTTTGTGTGAATATGCGAAAATGATTCGAATACGCTACGTATGGACGCGTTATTTTTCTAAAACTGACGGGAAAAATATCTGCGTTTTAAAAAATATGCAGATACGTGTAGACAGGGCCAGAAAAACACCAAGCCGTATCTCTCTTAGTGACGTTACGACTCACAGTATGATTTAGGCTTGTTCAATCCGAGCTAGCCTAGGCACTTGGCTTGACCCACCCACTCCGTTAGGTACAAGGAAAGAACGAGATAACGATTAAACTAGAACAAAATGATATTGATAAAGATAATGGCCTGACTGAAATGACAATACCTACCTCGACAGACTCGGGGATATCGTAATAGACAGATGCCCCGAATTTGTCCGTTACCTTCACGGTAAAAGTCAAATTGCCACTTGGCAAAGCAAAATCGTTGAGATCGGAACTAGAGCCCTGGCCTAAAGGTGTTAGAGGACCTTCTTTACTTTGTTTGTAGAAGAATTTGTACGTTAAAGACTCAGCTGGCCCATCTGGATCTTTGAAGTTTTTACATTCTATTTTAAATACACGTTTTAGTGGTTCCCCTTTTTTGGGAGATACTTCACATCGGCCTTTTATTGGAGGCTTGTTAACTTCAACATTGAAAGTGCTTGTGCCTTTTGCTGTACTACGTTCAAAGTGTCCACTAAGTGTAACCTGGTATTTCATAGCACCTATCAAAGAAAAAAACTCGATAAGTGATTATAAACATGGGGAAAGGAAACCGTGGCTGCTAAACCAAAGCCCTAATTTACATCCGTCTCATATGAGCAGAAAATTAAAGGTACCGGGTTAATATCTGAGCAACCGCCAACAACGTAGCCTCCCACGCAGGCGTTTTTAGGGGAGCTCGTTTTTCATCCCTCCCCACAAATCATTGATTTCATTGATGTCATTGATGTCATCGATTAGTAACGTCTGGCATACAAGAACTATAAGACATTTTCAGAAGTAAACGCTTTCCCAAGAAAATAAGAAAATATCACTCTTCTCACTTGCGGGTAGGTAAATTACGTTACGATGTCTGCTGAGTATACCTCTTAGACTATGTCTTCGCTATAGTCACTATACCCAATACAGTATGAAATCGGAAACAAGTCGTTCACACTGATCGAATATCGTGCCATAGCGGTTGGCCGAGAGGGTTTGGTGAACTGAATCCTAGTCCTCACTACTGAATATTTACTTCTATCTCAGTGGGTTCCAGTCCTCGCTCGTACTTATTTAAGTCTTTCACGGTCTGAATACCTGTTCCCACTGCATTAAAGTCTGCCACAGAACCCATGCGATATGTGACGTTCCACTTTCGAGATCGGCTCTGGGGAGGGATGAAAACTATCGAGCTCCCCTAAACACGCCTGCGTGGGAGGCTACCAACAACGATGCTGAAGACCAAACGAACGGTGAAACAGCCAAATTGACGCCATGGTCACACTATAACGTGCAGCTTTTGAGCCGGCACAAAAACCATACCGGATATGGCTTCTGTTCACGCACAAGAACGGTGATTTTGGCGCGATTTCTGTAACGGAGCCAAGCTACACAGAGCCGATCTCGAAAGTGGAACGTTACATATCGCATAGGTTCTGTGCCAGACTTTGATGCAATGGAAACAGGTATTCAGACCGTAAAAGAATTAAATAAGCACGATCGAGGACTGGAACCCACTGAGATGGAACTACCGCTATGGCACGATATTCGATCAGTGTGAACGACTTGTTTCCGAGTTCATACTATATTGGGTATAGTGACTATAGTGAAGACATAGTCTAAGAGGTATACTCAGCAGACATCGTAACGTAATTTACCTATCCGCAAGTGAGAAGATGATATTTTCTTATTTTCTTGGGAAAGCGGTTACTTCTGAAAATTTCTTATAGTTCTTGTATACCAGACGTTACTAATCGATGACATCAATGACATCAATGAAATCAATGAGTAATCAATAAGTAATCGATGGGTAATCAGTTGATTAGTCATTGATTACATCCGATATTCAATGAGAAATCGATGAATAATCGATAGGCCACAAAATTTTCAGTCATCGATTAGTCATTGATTAGTTATCGAATAATCTTGCGGGTACACAAACCATACCAAATCGAAAACCAGCAGGACGAACAACATTAGGGCTAGAAGAGTAATTGTTTTAGCTACTGTAGCTATGGGTCAATGCCGCTGCTTATGACAGAAGTCTTTCCAAGCCGAAGCAGCAGTTCTTTGCAGAGAAACAGCCACCGCATGGGATTTCCAACCATCTGGATTATTCCTGTGCTTACTAGAATGCCATTAGTTACTGCAAAAGATAGGGGACGTTACCGATTCACTATGTGAATTTAGGTTATTACTGTTCTCCTCTTTTGTAAAGAGACGTTTAAATGCTTGAATCGAAGTGAGATAAATTTGTGGACAGTACCACTCGTTAATATTTGCTCTAGATCAAACTTTATTCATTTAGTTTCTATATAATGGAAAAAAACCGATACAACCACCTTAGACGCGGAAATCTTTTACTCTGCGGTGGCTGTTTCTCAACAAAGGCACAGATTCTAATAGCCAAAGAGTAAGACAGATAACTCAACCTTTTGAACATTTCGTTTTTGATATTTCAGTTACTGTCCCGGCGATAAATCATGGCCTATATACATTGGTTTTCTACATGCAGATTTAATTCCTATTTGACTATAATTATCGTCAAGAACCATTAACGTAAATTTTTATCACCAGAAATAAAAAAAAATTGCTAGAAATTGTATGAGATGTGTAATCAATGACTAATCGGTGGATAATCTTAAGATAATCGATGAGTAATCGAACGCATCAATTACTCATCGAAGGCATCAATGAGTAATCGATGTCATCGATGGGTAATCGATAGGCCACAAAATTCAGTTTTGGCCATCGATTAGTCATCGATTACCCATTGATTATAGCGAATAATCAATGACTAATCAGTTGATTACCCAATGATTACTCATCGATTACTCATTGATGTTATGCATCATCGACTAGTTACGTCTGGTGTATAAGGACTTGTATGGCGATTGGAACGAGAACGTCACTATTAAAAAGCTTCGCGTTTTTCAAACAACTCGCTTAATCGTAAAAAAAGGACCCTGGAATTGAATACTTCGCGGTGGTGTGTTTATTTCCTCTATTTACTATTTTCAGATTGACCATAACGCACCTTGTTTACGCCCCAACATTTTGGCATAACCATTGTCTTGGATTTCTCTGTAATACCCCGGAGAAATTGGATACAATGGTTATGTAAAATTTGGGTGGGGTGGTGGGGTAAACAAGGTGCATCATGGTCTATGTGAAAATGGTGAATAAACCGTCTCCTGAGGGTATTTCATGTTGTACTCGTGCAGTGAGGGCAGACAAATGTACATAAAAAGTGTGCTGCACGCGTAGAAATGTTGTTTTGGCTTATTAAACCTGCTGCTTTTTTGACGTTCTTGTTGTCGTTGCCGTCGTCGGTGCTAAAGCTTCTTATTCCTTCGTCCACAGTCTTCTTTCTATCACACCCCTTGCGCTTTTTGAGGAAGAGCCATGGACAAAATTAAACTATTCTAATGAAAAGAAAAGCTTAATTTTTTAGGCAAAAGTAAAGATTATCTTAGTAAATCAACAACATTTCACTACCAAAATTACCGTTAAAATAACCCGGGTTTATGACCAAGGTCTCTGACGTTAGATCCGGCACTGCGGAGTAACTCTGTAGGTTCTCTTCATTTGAACACTTTGAGGTGTCACTGAATGTATCACATATTTGAACGCTCCACCCGTAAATTATGTTTCGGTTATCTTTGGACTTCCCTTTTCCTTTTAATGAAAATTTCTCCGATGGGTTTAATTTTTCCTTGCAGTTTTTAACACACCTGAAATTAAAAGCAAGTAGCGATGAAAATCACATCAAGGGTGATCACCATTAAGTTAGATATTTGCTGGTTATTCCAGTTGATTTATAATCACCATAGCCTCGTTTTTGCTCCACGATTTCCCAGCAACCTTTGCGCTGCAACTGTGCCTTAAAAGGCGACAATATAAAGCAGTATTTTTACATTCAACTGACAAACAAGAGAGAATTTACCATCAGCTATCAGAAAATAAATTTTCAAACTGCCAACAGCAAGCAAGCAGAAAAAACGATGAAAGATCCCTTGGTCAGCGTCTTCTTTCCTTTGCAAATCACGTTGTAATGTTTTGTCACGTCGACCTGATCTCGTACCCAGATGTCTTGTCTACGAAGCCGAAGGCAGGCCAGGTCTGGTTAAGTAAGAAAATTCAGTTTTTTTGATTGGCTAGATTGTGAGCGAATGACGTGAGCCGCTTGTCTCTTGCGCGCGCTATGGCTTGACATGTGCAATTCATTCTTTGTAAAGTCTTCAGATCTGCTCAAATAAGTATTTTCATTGAAGAAGTAGTTTTCCGTCCCAATATAACTTGTAAATCCGTTTTAATCTCATCTTTAAAGACTATTTAAAACTCTCTCGGTATCAAAATTAAGACTTTTAAAAAGGGTAAAAAAACAATTCTCGCGTAGAAGTTGACGCGTAGTGCTTTGAACTTTTAAGTGATAGTACACGACGATTTTTAGCGCAACGTAGCGTGATGGTACGCGACGATTTTAAGCGCAACGTAGCGTTGGAATGTTGTAACAATGTTGCAACTATTTGAAGCAATGTCGCAACAATGTTACAACGCTGTGTTGCAAATTGTCCCGTGTAACATCACTTTTAGCGCGTAATGATAATTGAATTTAAACTACAACCTTGGACAAAAATTGTTAAGAATTTTGCACTTTCTTACTCACAGGAGACCCACCCTGCGAATTTGGCACCATGATGTAGTCATCGGGGCATAACGGTGCTTATATGTCCTCCGTAAACCCGGAATAACCGGCTGATTTATAGCAAGTAGACAGTTTTTATCTTGTTCTATCTGGATGTGCTACCCGAACCCCACTATTTCGTTAAATGTAGTTTTATGACGTTAACACTTCTCTTCGAAATTGAGTCGGAGTAGGAAGTTCATAGTATAACTAAAAATTGATAAGACATACTTACTCGATACTTATCTCAGGAGGATCACCTTCAATAATGGCAATATCTTGATCCTTAAAAACCGACGCTCGCCCTCTTTTTGCCATAACAAATCTGATAGTATATGTTCTGCCTGCAATCGCCATGGTCGTATTTAACGTTATTATTTTTGTTTCGTTAAAATCCGTAAGTTGACCCGGAGCATATCCGAAACAGCTTCCATTACTCAAGGGATTGTTTGTCTCAATAGAGGATATATTTTCCGGCAACTTGCCACCTTTAAAGTTACAAAACCAAGCAAACTCGAACTTGCTTCCTGGTTCATCTGGGTCCTCTGACTTGGAAGCATCAATTTGCACAATAGCGGTATTGCCTACAGTCCTCTTCGAGCCGCCCAAAATACTTGCCAAGAGGGGAGTTTCGATAATTTCAATAGAAAACTTTTTCTCACTGTAAAATCCTTGTACCCAAGTCATGTTGATAGAAAATATAAATTCAATCTCTTTGCAATAATTAAAAGCCCGAGCGTTATAATACAGAGCGGCCAAAGGTGTGGTTCTTTCGTCTAGCTTCGAATCTTGTTGATCACTACCGCATTTCTTTGTAATCTTCCACCTGAATTCGGTACTATGATTGAAGCATGTGATCTTGTTGTCAGTCTCGATAGATATCTTCTCTGAACGTTTGAACTGCTTTTTTTCACCGGATTCGAATCCAGGAACCTTAATTACGGGTAATTCACAGTGTCCTCTCCCTACTAGTACTGTTATTGGTTTTAACTTTATGCAGGATACTGCATTTTTGGCTCTAAAATTAACAGTATAAGCCCTGGCTTCTTCATACGTGACATCAAAATACTGAGTGCAATTTTTATTTCGCCGATCATTGATTAGTGAATTGCAATTTAAATCCTTTAGTTTTACCCAATCACTCTTTTTGTACTGTTTTGGATACGTCTTATCCTCATCCACATCGAGGTCGAGTAGAAAACGGGGATCATGCCCCCTCTCACCCACTGTGAGAGTAAAGTTTACTGCTTTTCCTTGTACTGTAGGCCCGTCGTCTGTTAGCGTAACATTAAGTATACTCTCCATCAGCGTGATTGTAACATCACGTGTCATATTGCTGACTTTATTCTGTGCCTTTAGGCGAATGGTGTGTTCACAATCGGTGCGTAATTCTTTACAAGGACTGAACGTATGCAAGACGGTCTCATTCGAGTAATTTTTGGCTCCATCGCTGTCAAAATTCCAGGTAAAAGTTACGTTGGTACCGTTTGTGATAAAGGCTTTAAAAGATACGTCATATTCCACGGGATACGTATCATTGCGAAGAGTAAAATCTGAGCATGTTTGGTTCTCATATTCCGTATGTTTAGTGATAATTTTAAGTCCTTGGATTGCATCTTGTATTATAACCTCCACAGAACCAATTCCGGAACTTATCTCGTTAGAGACATTAACAGTTACAATATAGACCCCACATTTATTTGGATAGTTGTAAACCGTCATTGAGTTATTTGTCAGCGAGTAATTGTTATCTCCGTATCGCCAGAAATAGTTTAGGGGTCCCGAAGGTTCAAACTCAGGACCAGGGAATGATACATTCAGTGTCACTGCCGCATCAGAAGAGTTCCTGGGCGAGTCTGAGGTCACCATGACTTTTTTAACTCCATACTGAACTATCAGCAGGCAAGTGTAGCTGACATTTGAAGGATTTCTGTTGAAGAATGTCACCGTAATGTTGTATTTTCCTGCAATGGAGTAGGAATGATTGGTGCTCCATCCCGAAGTCGGAAACTCTAGGGGGAAATACCTCGATTCATCACTTGAATTATCTCCAAAATTTATCGCCACGTTTAAGTTGGTGCCATTTGAAATTGTCACGTTCATTGTAACAGAATCATCAGCTTCAATATACAATTCTTTTTTACACAGTTTTTCTTGGGCTTTAGAATATGTAGTACGCCATATAGCGAGTCCCGGGCCCTCTGCTGGCGTCTCCACATATACTGTGGTGTTAATTGTTTTCCTATCGACAAGATTACTCGCATTAATGACCACGTGATATTCCCCAGGCTTAGTGTAATTGTGCGTACTAATTGCTACAAAAATATCGCCAACTGAGAGACTCCTGTTGACAATTTTTTTACTCCCATCACCATAGTCAATGGAAAAAAGAAGTTCAGAGCCTTGGGTAAGCCTCCAGTGTATTTCTGCCGGAGCGTTCACTGCTACGGAATGATTAGCGCTAGTGTATTTGAAGCCTTCGATTACGTCCTGGACGATAATCTCTGTGCAGTTCACAAGCATTGAACTGACATCATTGGATGCGATCAATACTACTTTGTATCTACCAGCTGTGGTGTATGTATAGGGCATAACTTTATCAGTGCTGTTCGTTGTTTTTCCATCCATGGTATGTAAGGTATATCGGGACATTTCGTCTCCTAGATGAGGCAATACAGTGAAGTTGAACGTTTCGTTGGTCTTTAGGATCAGTGGATGCTCAAACGCCACACCATGAATTGCATATTGTACGCTGAGGTTCCCTGTAATTGTTTCATTGTTAACTCTGTTGGTGGCTGTGATGACTACACTGTACCAACCAACAATTGTAAAGTTACTTTTATAGAGTCCAAAAAACCTTGCACCTGGCACTTTGACGTCAGTCAAATTCCTTGTTTCCATACTCCCATCAGGGAGTGTGATGGTGACATTAAATTCAACGTGTGATCCATTGAACAATGTCCAGCCAATGCTAGCTGTGGTCCCGTTTTCTATTGTTTTCAAAGAATCGTTTTTAAATTTCAAGCCAGCTATTCTCTCTTGAATGACCACCTGACACCAGAGTGCAGCTACCCCTATCTTATTCCCTGCCAAGACGCCGAGGGTCCTCTCCCCAGTGTTGTCAAATATTTTCGTGACCCATGGTAATTTTGTCGTGTCGTTGCTGTTGTCACCAAAATCCCAGATGAAAGTAACATTACTTCCTTTGGTTATAGAGCCGGTTAAATTTACAGATTCCGCCGAAGGGAAGACTTCCGGTATATTTAGCTGCAATTCGGTGACCATTTCCTGGAGGCAAATCGATTTTGTAACATTTTCTCTTGTAACGGAGTTTCCGACTGATAAGGCGATTGTCTTATGTCCAACCTTTTCATACACTCTTTCTTCACGGGATTCAGAAACAGTGGACACGACCAAAGCGATTGCAGGGAGTATGGAACGATTTTGTGGACTGTCCTCTGTAAATGGATGGTAATTACCACGAAGAATTCCCGAACCAGTTTTGTTAATAACTGCACTGGAATAAAATAGAGAAGACCCTGATGAACTGGTTTTTAGCGCCCCTGTCGGTCCCGAGGAAGCAAAACGCACGCCAAAGACATCTCCAGGTTGAAGCTGAAATCTCTGATTTTCATCTTCAATCAAAATACGCTTGGGACCACTTGTTGTGTAGACCAGGTATTTATGGATTTGTTGGTAGTTAAAGTTTCCATAAGGCAGTGTTTCGTTTTTGCAACGTGACATACTTTGCACGACACACAGCCCGTCAGAGAAACTGAAGATTGCATCGTTGTCGCATGTTTTTTTCTCACTGCCTGTGCACATAGTGATGTCGCAGATACACGTCTTGGTTGATGTACAGTATCGTTGAGTAGAATCCGTGCACGTTGGTCGATAAACCTAGCGATGTAAGTGATTAGCGTTTACTACAAAAACTACAACATTGCTCAGGAAATTTGAATGACAGTTATTTCAAAATTACTCACAAATAAAATTTTGTTACAAAACTGGCAGCCAATAGTAACATTTGCATCACAATCTCGTTGCACTGGGCGATTTTTCTTACAAACTGCAATTTTCCGTTCGTCACAACACTTTTGCTGCCCTGAGATGATCATGCCTAGCGACAGTTTCTTCTCACAACGTTTCATTACTACTGCATCAGTTTTATAAATATAGGTAGCAATTTAATGTATTGGGTTGACTTCTTTTATCTTTTTTGCCACTTGTATCGAACAGGGCAACGAAGTTCCAAGAGAATTGCATGAAACCTGTTCCTTAGTGCCCTGTTTTGATTCCTGTTTGATTCAGCTAGTATGTCATCCCCCCCCCCCCCCAGAAATCACTCTTCCTCACCTCAGTCTTTACTAGCTCAGTAGTTGGAGCATCCGACTAGGGTGCGGAAGGTCCTGGGTTCGAATCCCACCTGGATCTTTTCTGCATTCGGGCTCTGTGATTGATTCTTATCTCCGTGGCTTTTTCATTATTATTGGTTACTTACATCAACCAGCAGTGGGGTTTTTTGTAAAGTAAAGATGAACAATGAGTTCTATTTTCAAAACACTTTATCATTAGTCTATTGGAAGAGTACCATGATTTCTAAAGACCCTCCTGTCTCAACATCCATTTCCAGGGCAACAGCTTCTCCTTTACTTTTGACTTCCGTACCCGCCATCAGATATAACCCGTCAGATGTAATTGGCGAGTGTGCTTCCCCAGCTGGTGTGCCCACAGTCAGTACTGCTGCATCTTTGGATTGAAAAACAGGTCCATTAATTGCATAATCAGCAAATTCAGCAGTAGTGCATGAAGGAAAATCATATGACCCTGTTTTAAGACCAATCTCATCTAGGACTGGTTAAGCCTTTGCCCGGCTTAATTTGCGCCTGAAAATATATTTGCACCCAGTAGGCGACTAAATGTTGTATTTTTTTGACCTGAAATTCGTCGTGAAATCACAGTGGTGGATTAAGACTGTGAACAAGATAATATGAACAAGTGCTGATAGGTTCTCACTTTGAAGTTTAGGCCGGCTCTATCCCCAGAATCCTTATCTTTGCACGTCCGAAATATAGTTATACTAATTGAATATGAACAAGATAATATGAACAAGTGCTGATAGGTTCTCACTTTGAAGTTTAGGCCGGCTCTATCCCCAGAATCCTTATCTTTGCACGTCCGAAATATAGTTATACTAATTGAATATCATAGTGGGGAAGGACAGGAAGTAGGAGCCTGGGAGAATAGTGTGTGGGAGGGGTACAAGAGGTGGGAAAGGAAAGGGCGAGAGGTAGGAGTTTTAAAAGGATGGAAAGTGGGATAAACAAGGGGAAATTGCATGAGAATGCTTACTATGTCGCAATCGAAAAATGGCTATAGGAAACCAAAAAAGGGCGGGAGTGGGGAATGCAATGTATAAGACGCAGAAGACTTTGACCCCATTTAAATCCCCCTACCGCGATACACTTTCTGGCTTATCAATCAAAAGATTCCAATCAACGTAATTTGCTCTTTCATTAGAGACCTTAGTGTTCGAGGACAAGAACGACTACGAATACGAAATTTGATATAATTTTTTTCCGTGTATTGTCAAAAAAAGACAGCAGGACTATTTTTCACCAAGAAAGTTAGCACCGTTATGTCTCAAGGTTACGCCCTCTCTCGATCGCAAGAAAATAAAACCTCGAACATTTGACAACTTTTTTCTACCACTTCGAGATACTCGCAAAAACTCGTAGTTAGCTAGGTCACGACTGCTATCGCGTTTTCCAGCTAAAATGATGCTGGTTTACTTATGCGCAACACTTCGTACTGAGAAAATCTCGTCCTCGTCTTAGAATCTAAAGGTCTCTGTTAACAGAAGTTAGTGCAGCAAAGTTGTAGTGATGTTTGGGTGTTAACACTTACCAGGCAGTGAACCATTGACTTGACCTTTTCCGTCCCCAAATTGCACTGCATAATCCACGTTAGAACCATAACGGAACATCACAGAACAACCGGCAGAAACGTTCACAGGAGCACAGGATTGGCAAGAAATATTAAGACCTGTCAATTCAGAAACTACTCTCCTAATCTTCACAGGAGATTCAATTGTTGATCGATAACCTGTTTTACTATGTTTTACGATTGCTGTTCCTTTGATGTAGTAACTTCCGGGATGCAGAATTGCTATGGTTGCAGGGGAATGCGTGGTGTAATGAGTTGTACCATCCCCGATGTTAATCGTGTAGGACTCAACGGTTTCATTTGCTGGTAACTTCGGCGTTAATGTTATGTTAAAAGCCTTGAAGGTGTACACAGAGGAATCCAAGGACATATCTAACCTCCGAGGCCACACCGTAACTGACTTGAAAACAGAAATGTGACTTTTTCCTCCGCATTTAAGATTTCCAGAACCAAAACAGGGCCAAAAGCACATGTCAGCGGCACCTTCAGCCGCTGGGGAAGTGGAGTTAGAACACAAGCACAGCATTCCCCCCTTTACTGCTGCATAATTGTAGTACCAAGTGCCGCACTCATGCATGCAGAGACCTGGGGTCATGCTGCTTGGCTTGTATCCACCGGGGTTAAAAACAAAAGCTGGCGATGTGTCACCGTCCTTGTAGCAACCCAAGTACTGGTAAGGAACTGTAGTGAAGAAGGATAAACATTCAGGCATTAATAATGATAAGCTGAGAGACTAAGATCAACAATTTTTGAAATCACTTTGATCGACTATGGAACGCAAACGCAAAACTGAATAATTGTTGGCCGTTAGTTTCCTTCCGTGACGAGGACGGCAACGAGAAAGTCATAAAAGCAGCAGGTTTAATAAGCAAAACAAGAACTTTGCACGTGCATTACGCTTTTTGACTTTGTACATTTCTTTGCCGTCACTGCATGACTACGACTTGAAAATGCCTGATTTCACGTTTTATAGAGGAAGTACACAAGCGACAGCGAAATTCCATCTCTCTTTCTGAACTTGGATATGGTTCTTCGGAATTCAACTTCAGGGGTAGCTACCTACATTTGACAAAGCTAGTGACTTTGCGTAATCGCAATGAAGGTTAAAAGAACGCGAATTCATTTTTTCAGCGACGTTTTCGCTGCCGTCCTCGTCCTTGGATTTTAAGGTCCCTACAGTGAGTTGTAATGATTTTCCAAGGAATTTGCTGTGCCGCATTGAAAGCAATATGATTATATTAGACACTCAAAACACCAGCTGCTCGGCGTTTATAATGAGGCACTGTTGATGGGTAAAAAGTCCCCAAATGTAGTAAATGTTTAAAAGAAATTCTTGGCACAAGGCATAAAAAAGAGAGATTTTAATTAATAGCGAAAAAACCGCCGTTTGAAAATTTATCGTGAGCTTGAAACATTACCTTGTTCACAAACGTATCTCGATGTGTACGATGAGCATGAAGTTTTGCTCCAATTTCCACTCGATTCCATGACAACACAATCACCACTTGATGATCCGTTATTCCATTTCTCATAAGAGACCTTCATTCCGTCTCTCCAGTAATATAATTCATCGTTTGGCTCTCTTGATCGTTCAAGTCCAATCCAAGCATCCCCTTTTAGCAAGCTACGAACAAAAGCATTTTCTTCTTCTGATGTAATCTTCACCAGATCAGCTGTTTCACTAACGCATGCTTCACGAGCTGCGGAAGCTGAGAGGTTTGAAGGCGACACCTTGTAACAGGAACCATCGAAATATTCCCAGCCCACGGGGCAGGAGTCTGGATCTGTGAACATCATAGATAAGAGTGACCGCTCATCAGCTCCTAAGAAAAGTGCACTTAGCTAGGCCTTTTATCTCACGTCTCAAGCCTCTGTTTCAACGCGAGGCTGGAGGCGAACCAATTGTTACAAAAGTAATTCTATTATAATTCACATTTTAACAAGACAGGTTTTTGCACTTAGCCTCGCTTTAACAGTGAGGCTTTTGGGAAATCAGTAATGGCCTTTGACCTCATTATTTTTCTCCTTTTTCGCGATAGAATTTTTGACTATGTTGGGAATAAACAGGCACAGCATTTCTTGATCTTAAATGAACACATTGAAACAATCATACGGTGCTTCTTCTAATACGTGAGCTTTTCAAACGCCTTCTTCGTTTCCAGAAAAAAAAGAGGAAACTATATGACATCGTCATGACAAAGGTTAAACAAGTGTGAACTGTTCATAACATATCTCGGTCTGCTCGGCTCGCTTTGATCGCGAATTGTCCCCCTTTTCCCCAACTAAGGAGCCCCAATCTCCCACGCTACCCACGGCAAAATGATGTTAACTTGTTTTGCATGTTTCGTTATTTTTTTGTTATTGACAATCATAATGTTGCAATGAGGGTTGATCTGCACAAACCTATTGAAACAAGTTATAAAAGGTGGACTCACCATTGCATACATGAAGTGTTTTCATCCTTTCCTCACTTATTTCCAGTTCCCAAATTGCAACATCTCTGATTGCACCACTGAAATATTTAGGTCGACCAATCGTAAAAGAGCCGTTTGTCACAGCTGAAGGTGTGACAGTCTTGCCACTTAAATCATACAACACAGTAGCTGCATTACCGACTATAACAGCAGTCAGGCCATTTGGGTAGCTCCACCCAATGGAAAATGTCTGCCAGGTGTTCCTCTTAAAGGCTCCTTTAACCTCCCACTCCTTGTGTGTGTCCTTAACAGTAAAATACATGGTTTCGTCGACATAAAAGATGCTTACTGTGCCAAGGGATAGCAAATAGCCGGTTCCAGTTCCAGAAATACTGGCTTTGAAGCTTAAAGAAAATCCATCGGGACACTTGGAAGGAATGCTTAAGCAGCTGTCTGAAAGGTCGCCAAGGTCTACCCAGGAAGCGGAGCTGTTGATGGAGAGCGCCAGAGGTGAAAAGTCAGCTTTAGCGGCTGCGCGCTCTGTGATCCATGGACCGTGAATCTTTCCGATCTTGCCGTTGTTTATGTCCTTTACGAAAACAGGCTTGTCCAGTGGCCAGTAGTGAGTCGCATCCTTATAACATTGATCTGTTAAAAGCATGCAATGAGAATATTGCTATGCAAAAATTTCGAAAATAATTCCCCCAACTCCGACTCAATTTTAAACTGAGAAAACAGCCGACATTTAGCAACGTCCCTGAAGGCTTTTCCGCGAAGTGATCTCTGAGGAGCGAGCGCACAAATGTCATACTGATGACGTGTTACTACCCAGTTCTGGGTAATGCTTCTGATTGGTTAGAGCAAATTTTCAACCAATCACAAGCACTACCCATATCAGGGTGTGACACGTCATCAGTATGGAATTTTTGTTGTCGTTCCTTGAACATCTTTTCCCGGAGAAACCGTTGGTGGAGTCCCGAAATGTCGGCTGATTTCGCAGCCTACGTCAATTTATAAGTCCCGTTGGATCAAAGAATTAGAATTTCCCTAATTTCCAATTCCAAAAGAAATAACCTTTCCATAATAGGATCCTCTTTACATGCTTTATATCAAATGATACTTATCTGAGAGTTGCTATAAAATACCAATTTATCGAAATAGTGTACAAGACAAGCCTGGACATGCTCTTTCAAAATTAAATTAGAATTTTGATTCTGTTGTTTTTGAAATTTGTGGTCCAATACTTAATTACATGTCTTCGGAAAATTACTCACATAAATTTCCCTCCAGTTATGAGCAAAAGCGATGTTGAGGAAAACAAATTTCCGTCATATAATACGCCAAATCCACCCACCCGCCAAATATAAACTGTGTAACCTTTTCCTGAATTGAACGACAGAAAATCATCATTATCAGTTACCCTGATAAACTGGAAATTTTTAAAACGTATAAGAACGTGACCAGCGATATTAAAAATGAGTTCTTTACCTGTACGTCCACACACATGAATAATTGCCGTTGATGTGGTCGTAGAGAAGAACACGTATTTCACGTTAATTGGATCACTATCTCTCCAAAACAGGTAAAGCTGTTGAAAAAACGATAACATTTGAGACAGTGAATCAATATATGATTCTGAAAAGTATAGTCATCTAGTCTACTTGGGGTGTAAATACGTGCTACATGATAATTAAGAGAAAACATCAACTACAGTGAATCCTATACTAAGCGCCTACTTATCGTTACTTCCAAGGTGGCCGCCTAAAAGAGGTTCAGCTGCTGAACTTAGCCCCAATATGAAGAAAACCTTAAACCACTGAACTTTTATGTTATGCCATAGTCTACTAAGCGTTTCGAAAATAAGGATAACGATAACGATGATCTTTGACAAGAAAATAACAGAGGTTGAAGGGGGAATGACACGCTAAGACTCAAAGACGTATCATACACGAGGGTATGGCGAGGGTCGTGCGAGGAACGCGTCGCAACAGCCGTATCTCAAATAAGAAATATCGACCAAGTAGTTTCTCTCTTGCAAGAAACTAATCATATACTCTGTAAGACATACCACTTCTCCAGAACCAAACACTACTCTGTCTGTTTCTACTTCAATCCAGAATGACCGCATCTCGTTTTCCTTTAATGGCCCCGTAACGTGCTTCACCAACAAATCAGCAGTAATGTTGCCTTTGATACGTTTTAGTTTGAGCTGGTTATCCTCCGCAGACCCAATGATTATCTCATAACGCGAGCTAGTGACAAGCGATCCACTTGTTAACAGAACGGTAACTTTTCTCTGGGCGTCAATCATGAATTGAAACTTTCGGTTGTGTAGACGGTAATGAGACGATTGGTTGTTGCTGTTTAGGAGGACAGCGTCACAAAGTGACTCTGAAAACAAACAAATTCAAATTCACTTTAGTTTAAATACTCAGGTGATAACAGAGATTCCTTCGCCCTGATTGGTAAAGGATTGTGTCATAAATACTTTATTATCCTCTCCCCTTATGGGGCTTTTCAGATAGGAATAATTTAAATGGAAAAAAATGGTTAAGAATCCTAACTGGCCAGAGGCGATTTTACAAGCTTAGCGGAGAATTTCAACTTTTGACTACCGACTACAAACTCAGCTAGGGGTCAGGGCGAGACGTCCGGGTTACATGAACAGCGCTCGACCACGCTGCCCTAATAGATGAAAAAAGGAACTAAGGCTGATATGAATTTATAAGTTGTTTACTTATAGAAAATGCAAAAGGAATTCTGACAAGAACTTAGAGTAAAACTACGATATAGAGACTGTTAGTAGCACTCCATAGCACACTATCCTGAAAGTAAAACTCGCATACATGGACAATCAATGTAAAAATCTAAATAAAGCGAGAGTATGACCACCGCAGTTGTAATTGCAATTTAAAAAATTTTAAGTCCGAAAAAAGTTTTGGGCTTTTGAACGGGATGCGAACTAATGGCCTCTGCATTAGCACTGCAGTGCTCCACCAAATTAAGTGATCTATGAAGAGCCATACATTGGGAGCAGGCCAATTTGTTGAGTTCATCTTCACCAGCGGAACGAATGAAACTTGGAATGAAGATGAATTCATGTAGATCTGAATTCCCGCAGTTCACATTATCTTCACTCTGTAGTCAAAATCAAGCTGTGTATTACTTTCTTCAAAGATTTCGTGCCGCTCTTCTCAGTATTGATCTTTTAACATTCAAAGATGGTTAAACTGCTAATTCGAGGCAAAGTTTCTCAGAGCCCTAGGAAGCGCACTTTTCACAAACATAGCCGAACATTAACAAGGTCCAACAATGGATCAAAATTTTAATGAAGTTATATACAACATATCTTTCCCTTCAAACATGGAGGATATTTTTACCAATTAACAGAATCGTCTGTTGGCTCCTTTTGTGTTTATCTATTCAGTTTTAAAAATCACTTACTTTGATTACAATATTCATTGTAAACTTCTATTTCTTGGATTCCAACTCCGCCGCTAGCCCCATATAATTTCTTGACTGTAAACTTTATCCATTTTGCCGGGCGAGATAGAAAACTTAACTCTTCAAAATCGGAACTGTTCGCCTTTAGTGTAAACTGAAAAACACAATAAAAGTATCAAAATGACCCTAGTCTTGACCAAAACGTGGTTAATAGATCCACCTCTGTTTTCACTTCACATATACCACATACGTTACATATCGATAATGCGTTGGAAGGTGACCTAAAGCCCGTAAATTCAATGGACTGAGAGCGGTAGCTACTGTCACCAAAAATGACGTCCGAGTTTACTCTAAATACTTAGTGTTAAGAGTGAAAATCACACGCACTGTTGTTCTCTTGTTCCATTCAGGCTCTTAACAGAAAGGAAGCATAGTCATAACCTGAGATCAGGCTCTATTTTCGTTTCGCTTTGTAAATAACATTCCGGTGGGCATGGCGAAACGAAAAGAGAGCCCAATTTTAGCGGTAGCCGTTAGAGAGAATGTATGAGAACCACTCAAATTGTGCCTGATCTCAGGTTAGCATAGTCATGAGGCTTTGTGAAGTCTTTTGTTTGTCTTATTATTGTTGTTGTTGCTGTTATTATTATTATTATTATTATTATTATTATCTCTTTTATCACAGTCTTTGCTGGTGTTCTTTTTGTGCATTAGCCGGGCGCAAACCATGCACCTACAGCGTGAGTCACTCAAGTCAATCATTCTGTTCATACACTGAGCACCTTTCTGACGATTCGCGCAGATCCCAGCACGCAGATCTTTTGAATCTCTGTCATAGTAGCTCTCTCTGATACTTTCTTGATGTTTTCTACCATACCCTTTTTCACCGTACCAAGTGCACCAACAACCACAGGGATCACTACGGTTTTCATATGCCACATTCTCTGTATTTCTAGTTCTAGGTCTTTGCACTTGCTTTTTTTTTCAGTTTCCTTCAGTGCGATGTTTCTATCTGATGGAACAGTCATATCAATCAGTTTGCAGGTGGAATTCACTGAATCTTTAACGATGATGTCTGGTCTGTTTGCTGTTATAGTTCTATCAGTATTGACTGGCATGTCCCACATGATGGTGATTTTGTTATCTTTATTGTGCATCACGGTCTCTGGCTCGTGTTCGTACCATTTGTCTGTAATCTCTATATCATGATCTTTACAGATGCTCCAATGGAGACCGGATATGCTGCAGCATTATTGTGCCTGGAGATGTACTCTGTTTTGGCTAATACCTCACATCCAGATACAATATGGTCAACTGTCTCTTAATGTTGCGAACACATTCTGCATTTGCTCTCCACTTGCTGGCCACATATTACTTTCTGGTAGTTTCTGGTATTCATTGCCTGGTCTTGAGCTGCTACAAGTAGTCCCTCCGTTTCTCCTTTGAAATTACTTGACAGCCATTTGTTGGTGGTGACGGTGTCTACATGAGGCTTCTCTAGGATCTTTGGATACTAGCCATGCAATACTTTGTTTCTCCACTTTTCTTCTTTCATTGACTTCATCTTGGACTTAAACACGTGTTTCAGTGCTTTAGCATTTTCAGAGGCAGATTTATCTTCTCTGTTCTCAACCTCTGGCATTGTTACTTCCCTTTTGAATTTAGTAGCATTCTTGGATATTGAATTTTTGGCTTTAGATCTTTCATGTTCAAGCAGCTGCTTTGGATATTGCCCTTCTTTGTGCTTCAGATAGTGATCAAGCACTATTGTTGCTGTTTTGAATGCTGTTTCTACATCAATCAGGCCCCTACCTCCATATTTTCTTGGGATGTACAGTCTTTCCACATCTGCTTTAGGATGTTTTAGGATGTAACATCTGAGATTTTCCAGTCAATGATGCCAAAACTGTATTGCACAACTGGGACTGCAAGACTATTCATAGCTTCTATTTTGTTTCTTCCATTGAGCTCAGATCTTAGACATTAATCTTACTCTCCTATTATATTTTTTTCTTATCTTCTCTTTCATTTTGCTATGCTGGATACCATCACTTTCATCTACACCCAGGTATTTGTATACTCCTTCCTGGTCCAACTCTTGTATTTCTGTGTCATCATCTATTACTATGTTTCCAGTTGAGGCCACTTTACCTTTCTTGAAACTGGCTTTGGCACATTTCTCAAGTCCAAGTTCCATACCAATATCATCATTGAATTGTTTCATTATTTTCAGTTCTCCAACTTGTTCTTGCTCGTTCTTGCTATACAATTTTAGATCATCCATATAAAACAGATTGCTGATTGGAGCACTTGTGTTTAAGATCTTGTAACCATACCCAGATGTAGCCAGCTCTGATGTTAAAGGCACAAGGGTTAGACAAAATAGCAGAGGTGGGAATGAATCTCCTTGAAAGATCCCTCTTTTGATCTTGATCTGATCTGTTGTGATGCATCCATCATTGTAAGATAGCTTCATCGTAGTTTTCCAGTTGCTCATTGAGGTTCTCATGATCTTCATTAGTTTTTCATTAAATCTGTACATCTGTAAGGTCTTCAGTATCCAACTGTGAGGAACACTATCATAGGCTTTTCTGTAGTCTATCCAAGTCATACTCAGGTTCTTTTTCTTCTTTTTGCAGTCTTCTATGATCATTTTATTTATTAGGAGCTGATCTTTGCATCCATATGAACCCCTGACACAACCTCTCTGTCCTTCCGGCAATATATCATTCTTCGTGATGTGGGTGTAGCTTCTTTCGGTTAAAATCGATGTGAGCACCTTGTAGGATGTTGATAAACAGGCAATTGGCCTATGGTTTTAGGGGTTCTCTGTGTCTTTGTTCTTTGGTAGTAAATATGTTTGTGCTGTAGTGAACCAATCAGGCAGATTTTCTGGGCGTTCTATTGCTTGGTTATATGCATTCAGTAGGTGTTGGTGTAGTGCTGTGAGGTGCTTTAGCCAGAAGTTAGGAACTGCATCAGGGCCGGGTGACTTCCACTTGCTTGCTTTCTTTAAAACAGTCTGCAACTCATCTTGGCTTATGTCCTCCCATGGTTGGCATTCTGTATCAGCATATTTCTGCTCCTCCCTCTTTATCCACTCTGCTGAATGGTTGTGCTCTCTATCGTTCTCCAAGATGTTACGCCAAAATGTTTCTGTTGCTTCTTTCTTAGGTGGTTTTTCAACTGATAACATCTGCAAACACCTGGTTTTGACTGAATTGTTTACTTCTTTTTACATATCTCCTCATTCTTTGGGCTTTTGCTTGAATTTTCATTTTAAGGGATTCCCTTACTGTTTGCAGTTCTTGATTTGTTGTTATTTTGTATTTCTTTTTAATTCTTTGCTTTTTCGTGAAGATCTTTTGGTTTTCACCTTTCTGTGCCTTGTCCGTTAGTACCGACAGATCAGCTCTCATGCTTTTAATCTGATTCTCTATTCTTGTCCTCCATTTTGGTTGTTGCCGTTTATTGTTCTTTGTCTTTGGGAGTTTTGGCGTTTTACCCATCTTTTCAAATATCACATACGCAGTGACATATTGTAACAAATTGATGTTATTGAGGTTGGGTGCCTCTTCTGCTATTACCAATTGAATTGCTTGGTTTGCTTGTTTGATCAACAGCTAAGCTTTTCTGTTCATTGATATCTAGGGTAGAGGGGGCCTCTCTGCCATCCTGATATTTTCCCATTCAGCTATTGCCCTCTTAATTTCTTTAACTAGGTCTTCGATCTCAGATGGATTTTGTGATGGTTTTACCTCATCTTCATTTGAGTCCTAATAACAATTGTTGGCATCTTCTACAAACACATCATCCACTACACTATCTGTTTGGTTGTTTTGTTCATTCAATTCATTTTCAATCCGTTGCTTGATGTTATCTAGTTAAATTTCTGTTAGTTTGTGTTGTTTTTCAATATATCTACGTTGGTTAATCAGTGCATTGGCTGTTAGATTGGGCCTTTCATTTGGGTTTCTTTCCCTCCATATTCTGAATGTATCTTTTGTTACACCTTCACTGGGGTCTGCCTTTGCCTTGAAATAGCAGAACATGACTTCAATGTAATCCTCTCGTGTCCATTTGTGTCTGGTGTTTCTTCTATCTGTGTTGGTACCTGCCCGTTCTGGTGTGGAAGGACCCCGTTGAGAGAGACTCAGAGATGGGTTGGCCGCCACTGCAGGTTGAGAGGGTAGATCAGTAGACAACTTTTCGACCTCACCCTGACCATTCACTGAGGGACGCGCTCCTCGCGCTCCTTGTTGACCCGCGCGACGAGCGATGCGGTATGAATTCCTTACATTTCTACAGCTCATATTGGTGAAGATGCTATTTGAGCCATAGCTGGAGAGAGCGCCATGAAGTCTTTCTTATGTTTTAAATATTGAAATATTAAGAATATCATAGCCGGCTCTTGTAAAATATTAAAACGTTAAATAAAAAATAGAGATGTTTCCGTTTGTCCTAAAATTTTGTCCACCATTCTATTTAGCTTAAGATATATGGCAAAATCATAATAAAAGTTTCCATAAAAGTTTCAATAAAATTTTTTTTTCTAAAACAGAGCACTTTAGCAAGAATCCTCTTGAGCAAGAATTTGAAACTGCGCGCAATGTTTAATGTACTCGATATGACTGATCTCTGCATTCTTTGTAAGATGGTGGCACTCTTCTCTCCAACAAGTTCCTTTACTGCTTGACCATTGAGACACTTCTGAAATAAGTTCAAGGTCCTTCAGCAACTCAAAGAAGAGGATTTAACAGCTGCGTTATGCCTCGCGAGATACTTAGTCTGAGAGAGTGTCCCACACCCCGCCAAAACGTGCGACACATTTTCAGGCAATTTACCACACATTCGGCACATGACATGTGAAGTTCCACTCCCTTTTCCAGTTTGCCTTTGGTGGTATAACTTGGTTGGAAACATCTGTTGGTACAATTCCTGCGTGGCTGCTGCTATTATCAAGGGCCGAGCCAGTTTCCCTTTCCATTTCTCTTCTCCCAGTGTGTCACTAAAAGTTTTCTATTGTGCCTTGGCAAGAGTGGTCTTTTAAGTTTTTTTCCTCCTATTTCGTCACCATCCTTCGTAGTAGCCCTTGGATTAGGATGCTGTAAAGTCAGAGTTAAGTGTAGCTCTGAGGCACACTTTTCAGCATCTTTGATGATTGACTGACACCCGGTCTGCACTGCGTTCTCTTCAAACTTCCTCGCGGCGCTCATGGTCGTATCTGAGTTCTCAAATAATTTTACAGCCGGTTTGATCTTAGTGCTTTTATACTCCCCTTAACACATGATCTACGGCCTCTTCTACCGTTCTTTCTTGAATTGTAGAGTTGTGCTATCGATCCCAGGGGGTGATTCCCATTATTGTCCACGATAATTTTACGCCCTTCTTTATCCAGCGGCTGTAAGTCGGCAAGTGGCCATGTCTGGGTCCACATGAATACGTTAAAACTGGTAAAACATACTGTTTCGACGCAGCCACTCTGTGGTAGTCTGTCAGAGGGATAGACCAGATAATAGATAACCTTTGCAAGTACACCTTCGCCGCATTTTGAGGAACAATTCTGTCTTCCTGTTTCACAGTTTCCAATACTCCCAGAAACGTGTAAGAGCACCCTTCTTCCAAACTACTCATTGCTTTAGCATTGTCAATCTCCAAGTTCTCCGCCCTTGAATCAAACACTCTATGTTCACATGTTCAACCGCGCACTTCTTCTCGTTCCACTTTAAACCTACACATTCCATGTCATCCTTAACAGATCTTAGAACTCTCCGTTGCTTACTTTCCGACGCTGCAGATACCTTCAAATCATCGATGTACAACAGATCTGTTATCTTCAGACTGATCGGTTTGGACAACTTATACCCTTCGGTTGCCTTGAGCTTCTAAGCTATAGGATTTAGGCATAAGCTGAGGAGACTTGGATAAAGCGTATCATCTCGATGAAAGTTATCATTTCTGACGTTTCCATCCCTTGCTTCGTCTTAACCACAATTCTAGTGTTCCACCTATTACTCAATTGCCGTATTGCTACGTCTAACCACCGATGGAATCGATCAAGCTCAAACACCTCTCCTAACCATCTGTGACCTACCGTGTCAAAGGCCTTTCTAACATCTACCTAGGCCATACTGAGATTCCGCTTTCTCCAATGACCGTCTTGACACAGCATTCGGTCAATAAGGAGGTTGTCAAAAGTTCCACTGCATTTCTCTCTCGCACCTCGCTGCTCTCGCCCCATCAAGCCATACTTCTTAAGGTGATGATTCATTAATTTTAAACCACTTGTAGACGGTGTTTAAGCAGGTAATCGAGCGCTGATTTTCGCTGGAAAATTGACCTGGCTTCGGAATTAATAATGTCTTACCGCCCGTAAACCACCAAGGAATGTCTTGGGGTTTGTTTGTTTTTATAATAATAATAATAATAATAATAATATTAACATTATTATTATGATAATCATTATTACCATTATTATCATTATTACTATTATCATTATTATTTATCATTTTGCATTTGGACCACTGCTTCTGACTATCGTGGGTTGGTCGTACAGTGCTGAACTCCAATATTCTTTTTAAGGAAGCCGAGCAGAGGAAGGACAGTCATTGAGTGCGTTCTTTACAATTCAATAAATTATTTTGTTATAAAATACGATTCGGTTAAATAAAATTTAAAGTTGAGCCAAAACTTTGTTCACGTTGCCTCATTTTATTCAGGCAAATTTCATATTTCGACAACTGAGCTAGCAGTAACGTCACTTATTCATAGAGACGGATTTTAACCTTCCAATAAGACTTTGAATATTTCAAATGTCACGAAAAATGTCTAGATTGTCTTAATCCGAGAAAAGCAAAACTCAAAAGGTTACCACTGAAAATAGTCAGGATTTACTAACCTTCTCGTGTGAGCAGTCACTGAACTCCAGCAAAATCTCTTGAATCTGCTGCCCCGTAGTCACACTTTGCTGAATTCGCAGCTTGTTTACAGTAAAGCTGGTATGAAATCCAATTTTTAAGTAGGAATTGATAACGCCGCTTGATGAAGATTCCCAGCCCGTAGTAGAATTGCCGTCAGTAGCATATCTACAGTCACCATTACTTGAATTCATACAGCTGCCACCGTACTTTTGCGAAGCTACGTTGAATGGACTGCAAGCTGTGGAAGCTACAAAAATAAAAGAAACTATAGTCAAGAAAGAAATTAGGGTAGAAAAGGCATACATATAAACCAGTTAGTTCTCTTATTATGGGCTCAGAGACACCTTGTTGAGGTGGTGGAATATCTGGTATTTGTTTGGTAATTGATGATCTTCGTTTTTTTAACTTTCAACAACCCAAAAATCCAATGTTTTTCAGTTTTTCTAAATTTTAAACATTCGCGTCCCCATTTTTATTAATTAGAAAACATTCAAAAACTCATCTAAAAATTTTCAAACATCTATATAACCAATTAAACTACCGTCCTTATGGACCCATTTTTTTACTGATCGATATCTCAATAATATAATGATACTAATTTATAAAAGCTGAAAATACCAGTGAGGATAAATTTACAGAGCTTGAAAATATTAATACGTGTAGAAGAAATAAAAGTTAAACTCTAAAACTCTAAAATATTATAAAGGAAATAAAGGGAGATGTAAAGAATTGACCATAAGAGGACACAGAAAAATATCTGAGCCCCAGATGGGACTCGAACCGACGACCCTACGTGTTCTAGATCGGATGCTCTAACCTCGGAGCTACTGAGGACTGGTTGGCGAGCAAGGGTCATTTTTTGTGGGTTGGACTTGCGAACCGCATCTCGCAGTCACACAGTCCAACACAAGCAACACATTTAGGCTTAACTGTATCACACAGTCACATTAATAGTAAGAAATGTCTCACCCATGAAGGAGCCTCCAACCAAACAACCTATGCCACTGATATTAATATTATAAAGGAAATAAAGGGAGATGTAAAGATATCGACCATAAGAGGACACAGAAAAAAATTTGAGCCCCAGATGGGATTCGAGCCCACCCTTGCCTGCGTGCAGACGTCTCCTATTTCCTTTGTTGCACGCGGAAAAGGGACGTCTGCGTAACGCCGTCGCTAATCGTGTTCCAGCGTCCCGCTGGGTTCCCAAGATCTTGGGAACATGCTGTGATAGGCTGACACACAGTTCGCATTGTTTGACTTAACGCTAATTGGTTGTTATTGAATCTGGTCTGATAATGTATGCGGTGATTTATGTAATCGGGGTTTTCCAGCCAAAACAAATCAAAACATGTGCCATTGTGTGCAGACCGTTCGAAATCTTGTGCGAGGTCCCGGAAAATTTAACGTGTGCGAGGAAATTATTTCTTTACAATTTAGATCAATTTACTGTGCATGACACATCACATCACATTTGTAAAAAGTGTCTGAGAAAACTACAAAAGCGGCGTGGACTTCGCACTAGGAAGGCATTTCGGAGAAAGCCAGCCAAAGAAAGTAAAATCTTTATTTAGCCGTAACAAACAGAGGCCATAGAAAATTTAAACACTTTACAACTGCATCTGAAATCAAATCCTATCAGGAACACCCACAGAAGCATAAACCACAGGAAATGATTACTCAGTATGCATGTAACAAACCTGCTTCATGACCTCTAAATGTAAGACTTAGTGCGACAAAAAGGAGATTTACTTAGTCAAAGTTTAGAATGCTACATGCACTGTGTAGTGCTAGTAATCTTCGCGCGAGAGAGAAAAGAAGAAAAACCTCTGTTTAAGCAGACTCTCAAGGTCACGTTTCGCATTATCACGAGCTTATGATGTTATGTTTGGCCTGTCAACTCTTATTTCCAACCGGATATTATTTCACAATTTATGCGAAATAGAATACCCTGCCAGCGGGACGCTGGAACACGATTAGCGACGGCGTTACGCAGACGTCCCTTTTCCGCGTGCAACAAAGGAAATAGGAGACGTCTGCACGCAGGCAAAGCTCACCCTTGCTCGCCAACGAGTCCTCAGTAGCTCAGAGGTTAGAGCATCCGATCTAGAACGCGGAGGGTCGTGGGTTCGAATCCCATCTGGGGCTCAGATTTTTTTCTGTGTCCTCTTATGGTCGATTCGTTATATCTCCCTTTATTTCCTTTATAAAACTCTAAAAAAAAACCAAGATAAATTGACAGTGAGGAAAAGATTTTTGTTTTCATTTTTTCAAATAGCTAATGAAGGCCACTTTCGAATGCAGAGATCAAAATATTCCACAGCCTTGGCACACCAGTGCCGAACGCCCCGGCGGTCTCCATAAGTCTTCAGAGGCACAGTAAGCAGTTCTTGGACACTGGAACGTAATGATCGAGAGAACTATGGACGACTCAAATCATGGCAAGATTTGGAAGAAAAAGGGCAGAAATAACACAAAAAAGGCTTTTAACTAGTATCCTTTGTTAAAACAATAAAATTAGGTAGATAAAAAGGTCGAAACTAACCTGATGGCACGTAAGAACAATTGATAGGGATAAGTGCTGCAATTGTGGTGGAACGTGCACTGTCATTATTATGCGCTTCATTTTTCCAATCCACGGCGTTTTTTCCTTTGTATCCAATGGAAGTGAAGGAACTGTTGGCGCCAAGAGTGGTAATTGACTGTATTCCCACCTCTTTCAGTTGGCTAGTGGGGAGACTTCGACCGCTTACTAAACCAGACTCTTGTATTGCAATCAACACTACTGTATCCTGGGGCAGACCACTTACAAAGGTACCTAACTCATCGCATTTAGCCTGGCTGGCAGTACAATCGAATGCAGCTGAAGTTAGAAACCGACCTGCATTGGAGAAGACATGAGAGATGTCAAGACTACTGATCACTTTTTACTTTATTACCTAGTGGATATCTTTAGCTTAGGTTTCGCTGTCAAATGAATAAATGAGCAAAAGATGTAAATATTGCTATTTCGCGAGCGTCAGAGAGAGACAAAATATTCAATCCCTGAATGGATTCGAACTCATAATTCCCAAACAGTGACAGCCGTAGCTTTCTATCCACTCATGATCTACAGGAAGACTCACAAGCCTGAGGTAAAGAAAACGTATTCTAGTATGCGACAGTTTCTAAGCATATTATTACGCCCTTTTAAGAACGGGCCTAAAGGATACGCCGTTGGGAGAATTCCAGCCTTTAAGGCCCCGGAATCATTCTGTAATTCAAATGCTGTTTTCCTGTGTTCTATTTGCAACATTCTTTGATTATCGATTTACCTGAAAGATGGTCAAAAACAGCTACATTGAAACCCTTAGTCTGCGGTGCGTAGTTTTTCCCATTAACTGTGATGTAAGCTAAGCCGTTCGTGGAGGGAGTTTTTCCGGGATCATTGGTCGCTTCGGATGTTAGGCTGACATTTAGGAGCTTGATCACATCTGTTAAAACAGAAACAGATATCGTTCAACTACATAAAATCTGAACTATGCGGGATATTATTTAACACAGTTTCAGGGGGGAAATTGTTGAGGTATCTTAGGCCTAGGCAAAGCATTCAAACTTTTTATGAGACGAATCAAACTTAGTGAGTTAAGTTCAAGAAAAGTTCTTCGTCTGGCTCAGTTGAGTAAGTCTAAATGAGTTTGGAGCGTCCAACACGTTCTATCCATCTGTATCAGACTAATACTGAACGTCTGAAAATCGTCTCCGGGACAAACGTCAATCTTCACATGCGACAAACTTAACTAATAAATTAAAAATTTGTATGATAATGTATATTTAGCCTCTTTCGGGAGAATTTCTTAAAATTTCTTTTTGATCAGATTTAGTTGATTGGTTCGACGCGTCTCAAGATTGAAGAAGATTTAAATTTAAGTTTACTCTGAGTTAGGTCGACCCAAATTAAAGTTTAGTTCGTGTCTTGAAAAGTTCGACGTTTGGCCTGCAGGGGCACCCAACGACCGTTTTCTATAAAATATTTCTTCGGAGAGGCATACTTGGCATACTTGTCAATTTGCTAAGACTCATTACAAGTATTTCCATAAACCGTTTAGGTGCACGTGTGAAAAAATACACTCAGGTTGAAAGTAATTATTGAGGACACTACTTTTATGCCTCCTACAGGAGAAGGGAGGCAGCGCCATTTTACGAGCCACGCGAAGGTATAGCCGTTTGCAGGACAAACTTGAGGTAGCGCTTCATTTCTCAGTTATTTTAGAACCCTAAGTGTTGGTTCAGCTCAGGGAATCGAACGCACGACCTCCCTCTCTGCAGTCAAGCGCGCGCTCTACCTGTCTGAGCTAATCCTATTGTGGTTTTAGTTAGAAGTAGTCAACAATTGAAAAATAATTATTAGTTATCAATAGATACAGCTGAAAACGATGAAAGCACGACTTGTTACAGACATTTCACACATTTCATTTCATTTTATGAATAAACGTCAAGACCAGTTAAGATAAGGAGTAAAAATACGTCCAAAATTATCCGGCGAAGAATGTCGTTGCTTCGAGTGAATGTTTACATCTGGTGAACTACCATACGCGGACATATGCATCTCTCTATACATCAAGCAACAACGTACGTCAATACTAATATAAGCCCCATGACCATTTGCAAATGGTTGGAAGAAGTTTCTTTTTTCTGACTCCTTAGGCTAACACCTAACAAATACAATCCTAAGTTTATCCATTTCAGCGATTTAAAGAAAAAGCAGCAAAATGACGGGCGCTTTCCGTTTCGGTAATAAAAGAAACTGAGAAAGAAGTTTCCAAGGAAAAATTTCATTAGCTATCTACTTTTGGGAAAATGTGGAAATCATTCTACTGAGGAAGTCGAATACAAAAAACGAAAAGTTTCCAGAAAATGCATTGGACACGTTTATGTGTATTCAGCGCGTTTCTTCGTTTTTCTCTCAAACGTTTGGAAAAAGCAATTTTAAAAAACGTTCTATTCACTACTTAGAATTTTTGGATTACTAAATTGGATGTTTTTTGTCGTTGTTGCTGGAAATCGCCCTCCCTCTCTGCAGTCAAGTGCGCGCTCTACCTATCTGAGCTAATCCTGTTGTGGTTTTAGTTAGAAGTAGTCAACAATTGAAAAATAACTATTAGTTATCAATAGATACAGCTGAAAACGATAAAAGCACGACTTGTTACAGACGTTTCACACATTTCATTTCATTTTATGAATGAACTTCAAGACCAGTTAAGATAAGGAATAAAAATACGGTCCAAAATTATCCGGCGAAGAATGTCGTTGCTTCGAGTGAATGTTTACATCTGGTGAACTACCATACGCGGACATATGCATCTCTCTATACATCAAGCAACAACGTACATCAATACTAATATAAGCCCCATGACCATTTGCAAATGGTTGGAAGAAGTTTCTTTTTTCTGACTCCTTAGGCTAACACCTAACAAACACAATCCTAAGTTTATCCATTTCAGCGATTTAAAGAAAAAGCAGAAAGCATTGAATTCTTGAGCTGAAAGCAAAATGACGGGCGCTTTCCATTTCGGTAATAAAAGAAACTGAGAAAGAAGTTTCCAAGGAAAAATTTCATTAGCTATCTACTTTTGGGAAAATGTGGAAATCATTCTACTGAGGAAGTCGAATACAAAAAACGAAAAGTTTCCAGAAAATGCATTGGACACGTTTATGTGTATTCAGCGTGTTTCTTCGTTTTTCTCTCAAACGTTTGGAAAAAGCAATTTTAAAAAACGTTCTATTCACTACTTAGAATTTTTGGATTACTAAATTGCATTTCTTTTGGCGTTGGTGCTGGAAATCGCCCAATACTCTAAACATGCGGCACGTTTTCCCAACATCTCTTTACCATTCTCTGTGCAACTAACACTTGATAGCGTTTATGGAATACATTACCTCAAAATTTCTCTATAAAAAGGTTAACTCATTTTGCAAATTCTGACCAATACTGCCAGAGTTACCCAAAACCCATACAAACATTTTGGTTCAAAGCCCACTGTCAGTTTTGCTATTCACCTACTACTCTGATTATCCAGATAAAATGTCCCCTTACATCTAATAAGCAAGAAAAAATATTCAAAGAAATGTCGAAAATCTCATTTTTAGCCATTTCTATGCTAATTGGCGAAAACCAGTCCAGAAAGTAGAGGCTGGTATAAAATGGATTTTATGCTTCTAAAATTCCGTATCCCAGTGCATGGTAATGCAAATTTTTCAGCGTTAATTAGCTATTCCCCAACAGGTGCATCAGTCGTTGTTAAGTGGGACGTGTAAACAGGAGATTTTGACGCAATTTATCAGCAAACAATAGGACAGAGTCCTTTTCATTTACGCACCTATACAGCATTTTTTAATTTATAATTTTCAGCAAGTTTTTGTAATTCTTCAAAAATTACCTAAAATCGCTTTTCTTAAGAAAAACGAGGAGTGAGGAGAATTTCGATTTACGGCTCGCCTGAATAACTAATTGATTTCAAATTAAACTGAAAAAGAAGAGTCTTCATAAACCAGAGGGCCCAAAACAATGAACCTAATGAACCAAGAAAATTTTTTTATCGACTTAAATCTTCTTGTAGCTATTACACTGAAGCAGCAAATCAAGAAATATGGTAAAAGAGAAACGTTGTCTGGATATGTTATTTTGAAAAACCCTAGAATCTTTTTGTCGTTGTTTTATAGGACACATTGGAGATTGAATGGAAATATATGAAATGACTGATATTTTGAGTCTTGGAACTTCCTGCTTATACAATTAAGAGAGGGGTGTCATATACCAACGCAAATTTGACAAGTTAAGATGTTAATATTAAGATTGACCAATATGCGGGTGATTTGGTAACTAAGGACAATTCTAAGACAAACATCCCCAATACAAACTTATAGAGAGAATTTAATAAAATCACTCGGTAGATGAAAGAATGAATATAAGCTGACAAGTTTTCAACCATCAATTTCCCAACCAAGTCATCTTTAGTTACCTATGAATGTGACCACATGTTGAAAATTGATATTATACGGTATGCTTCTATTTAAAAGGTTTCCCTCCGGCACCTAAAGGCACATTTTTGAATTTATTTCGTTTACTTTAGAACAGGTTATGTTTACATTTTGCAGAGGCAGTATCATTTCCGATGAATTTGTATGCAGCTTTAGTATCATTTGAATGACATAGCTTGTAATTCAGATACTAGACAGGTGGTATAACAGACCTGGTTCCTGAATAGACTAATTTCATTTGGGATAGAGTTTATAATACTGGCACAAATTCCCTCCAAGGGTGCGAGTAAAGCTTTTTGTTTTAATTCCGACGTAGAGTTGCTGTTAGGGTTTACTGTGAAGGCAATGACTCAAAACGTTTCTCCTTTCTAGCTGAAAATATTAAAAATGTAGAAGCGTCTCTCGCGCCGTTCTATCTTGTAAACGTATCTCAGCGAATTTTCAAGATAATCCTTCGATAAGGGTCTTATCTTGCGCTTACACCCACTAATGCATTAATATATCTAGATACGGTAAATATGTTAAGTTTTCGAGTAGGTGCTAAGATATCCCAAGTATACGTAAGTGACCTTTTTTTTCACTATTCGTTTCCCTGGTGAACTGAAATGCTGTCAAGATAGTTATGGCAGCTCGCAGTTGGAACACCTAACATGTTTTTTTCTCTGAAATGAAATGTAAATTACGGTTGTACAAATGGATGCGGAAAAATATTAAGAACTTCTCGATTTAAAACTACGTTTACGTAATTTTTTGAACAATCTTTACCTCGAGAGAACGCGTGCTAAGAATCCAGTGGCAAAATTCGCTGAATTTGGACAATTTGCTCCCTGTGCGCTCCATCTTTTCTTCCTTTAAGTGTAGTTAATTCGACATGATTAAGATATAATTCGAAATCTGCGGTCCTGTCTTAACGGCTATGAGGTGCAAATGGAGTCGGGAATGACCCACTGATTACCATGAATACCAGTTGAGTAGCGAATCATGAATTTAAGCAAAAGTAGAATCTTGCACATTGGGCCGACGAACGAATACCCTTAGATCGGGTAAAAACACCGATAGCTGCAATTACAAAATACTCCTCATCTAGCAAATAACGGCAGTAAAGTCAAAAACTTTATGGAAATGCCAAACTGCAACGTTAAGAGGGAAATCTGCCATGATATCGTTTTTTTTTTAAATTTGTTTTCAAATTTAATCTTGCCGAGGAATATGGAAGGAACATCACCTTGAAATGAAACGTGAAAATAATTATAGGTATTCGTTAGTCCAAGGTTTTTAATTATCGATACGCGATTGATATTCTTCAGTGATTCTCCAAACTTCGAAAACTGACCAAATTTTCAAAAACAATGTTCAATTTTTACATCAAAGAGCTTTCGAGCAGTTTATTTTGATGATAATATTATATATGCAAGTAAACAATTTCCCTTACTTATGTTTGGTTTGTTCTTAACGTG